GTGGGACTTAAAGCAGATTTCATGATTTCATCTGTTTTAGATTATCTAGTAACCAATATGAAAGTGTGTTTATTTTGTGCCTGCTACTGTGCTCAGTCCTTGGCAAAGACGATTTCATTCAGTCCTCCCGGCAATCCTGGAGGTAGTGAAGGTAGATGCTGATATCCTTTCATTTTAACATGAAGAAATTGAGACCTAAAGAGAATAGGTAATGTCCCAGATGACACAGAAAATGAGAGAGCCAGATTTTAATCTAGGCACTCTGACCATGTGGTCCATTCTTTTTCCTGTATCTTCCTATTTATATTTAATCAATCCTTTTAAAGATTTGTGATCTGTATTCACTAAGATAATAGAAAATGCCATATGAGTCATGGTGGATTTGGCAAAAAATATATGCCCCAAAATCTCTTTGAGGACTGAATGTTTTTGTTTTCCTAGTGCTCCATCCTACATAGGCCACTCAGTTCATACCTATATTTCAGGTAACCCAATGATCTGAACGAGATCTCTTATTTCTAAGAGGAAAAGTATACTTCTACTTCAGAAGATTATGTCACGTAATTGTGATAGTACAGTGGGCCAGGATGGGGGAAAGGGAGTAGTATTTAAGATAATTAAGATTCCAGACTTAGAAATTATTATTGATTTTATGAGAAATTGAAGAGCATTTGGCTATACCTTATACATGTAAATTATTTTAATCTACTTTGCAGTAAATTTAAGAGTTAAATTCCATTCTACCCACCAGAGATTAGCCATAACTTATTCTACTCTTTTTAGAATTGTATGTTCTAAATGATAGTTGTAACATGAGAAAAACTTTCTAGATTATTATAATTCTCTATACTGAATCTGCATGTTAACTCAAATTTTCTCAACTCAGACTGGATGCCAAGAGACAAAAAGTTGAGAGTTGGTAGAGCATGTGACTCTTGATCTCAGGGTCATGAGTTTGAGCCTCAACGTTGGGTGTAGAGATTACTTAAATGAATAAATAAAAACTTCTTAAAAAGAGACAAAAAGTTGTTTTTATTGAAATTTAGCTCTTTCAAAGGCTTGTTCCTTACTCAGGCAGTTGTGTAGATTGCTTTGGAACAGTTGGGCAGTGGTCATGTCACCTTTAATCATAAACTGAGTGAGAAGACAAATAGACTAGCATATTTGGGGTACTTTTGTTAGACTTTAAAACCCCAAAGGGAAAAAGTATAAATCAGCAATAATCAAAAGCTTTATAAAATTGTAAGCTGCATGTTTGGAGTTATTTTAAGAAGCATTCAAACAATCCATGAGAGCATGGAAAACATCTTGATAGATTTGCCACGTGTGAGAATCAATATATATTGACTATTGGGCAACTGAACTGATTAATAAATTTGTGACTCCTATTAAAGACTGGTTTAGTGGTTCTTTTTAAATGTAGCATTTGGCTTGTTCTAGTAATAATTTTTCAAGTTTTTGCACTTGAGTTACAATTGTTATCCACTAATTAAAATTCCATTTAAAAAATCTTATTTTTTGAGTGTGTGTAGGTGCATGAATGCACTTGTATCTGCTATAATAAAATGCCTTGGTGATGAAGAAAAACAATGTGTCGTATGAGAGATCTGAAAACATTTTACTATAATTAAGTGAAAAAAAATTAAGGGTAGTGTATATGTTATGCTACCCTTTGTGTCAAGAGTTTGCGCCTGTGTGCGTATTTATACTTGAGCATGTTTGTAATATAATAGAATCCTTGTAAGGATACATAGTAATCTGGTTCCAGTGATTGTCTGGAGGGATGGTTGAGGCTTGGGTAGGAAGGAGACGCTTTTTTTTTTTTTTTTTAAACCACGTATCCTTTGTTTAAAAATTTTTTTTCATGCATATAAATTACCTATTCCAAAAAATGTTTTAAATTGTTGTGAGCATCTTTCCACATTATAAAGTATTAAAATGAAAACTTTCATTCTATTAGCAGTTTTGTTTTTAATTTATTGGTGAATTTTGTTAATGAACTAGGTAATTCTGACTTCATCAAACTGGGTATCCTTATTCTCTAGACTCAGAGCAGAAAAGATGAACAGCCAGTAAAAAGTCAAAAAACTATTTTTGCGTTTCTTAGGCAATTCGCATTTTGGTCCAGGAGCGCCTGACCCAGGATGCAGTTGCTAAAGCAAATCAAACGAAAGAGGTATGCGTTATTTTTTAAATAAATTTTAAATTAATTATTAATGAAAGTTTCTTCTGGTATTGTCATGAGTTTAAATTTTGTATGTATCTGCTTAAGATAACCATTCTTTGTTAGAACTGTCCGGAGAAAGGGTAGCTTATTTCAGTGGGATTGAATTTGGTTCTTAAGCAAATTACAGCCATTTTTGAGTGAAAAACTTCTCACTTCCTACCTTCAAGCAGCTGTCAATAGCACATCCACAGTCTACCAGCACAAACCACTGCACGTGCCCAGTGGTTTATTTAAGAGAATTTACCTTGTAAAATTTACTGGGTTATTTTGACTCATTGCTGGAAAACGGAACACACATTGTCTTTCTTACTAATTTCCTTCTCTTGACTTAAATCCTGTCCTTTCTCTTTTGTTTCTTCAGAGAAATCTGTTCTCATTTTATTCACATTTCCTAGTATCACTTATGAGAAAGTAACTTACCTCAGGCCATCTAGTTGGTAAGTGGTTGAGCTCAGGCAGTCTGATTGAAGAGCCAAGTGCTCTTAGGGTAGTTGGGGACAGAGGTCTTTGTGTGAAGGCCTACATGAGCTAGTTGACCACCCCACATGAAGGGGTAGGGGTGTAGAGGCTATATTAGACTAAGTTTCTGGGTACAGGTGACTGTACCTGTCCTCTTTCAGGCCTACTTTGTAGGCTGAGGAAACCATACACTGTAACTATTTTTCCCTTAATTCTGAGATATTTTAGATGAAGTGCATTAGATATCCAAATACTCCGTAAAGTCTCACTGACTGTATGGACAGTTCTCAGAATGTCCTCAGGGGTTAGCAGCAGCAGCTGCAGGTGTCTGATAACGCTTCTTGCTGTGCATAGATACTGCAGTGAATGCCTTGGGCACAAGGGACATTCTTGATTCTGGTCCTTTTTTGTCTCCCCTAATTCCCCAGTGTCTTTTGTCCTCTGATCTCATCTTTAGCAGGGCCCAGCAGTGTGAAAAGGTTATTAATGCCAGGGCAGTGTAGTCCCCCCCTGAAAGACACTGTTTGTTTTAAAGGCTCTTATTGCTTATTAATTATGTATGAATCGGGCCACTGGAAATTGGATTAAAGATCAGCTTCTTTCACCCACACTGTAGAACAGTCAGTAAATTGTTCTGGCATAATAAAATCATTCATTCATTCATTCAGCAAAACTATGCCTTAGGTTTGAAGGCAGTGTAAATAAGGGCATAGCCAGATCTTTTTGCTCTTGTTTGCAAAGTAAAATTTTATTTTCAGTGCTCTAAGTCTTAAGTTTAGTTCATCTCAAGGTACCATGCTATATAGTAATACAGAGGAGAAGTTCTTACAGTTAGTGTTCTTGTTTATAACCATAATTAGCATTTGGTCACGATCTTTAGGGGTAGCTGTTCCTTGGTGGTCTGTTGGCAAATAAAATGAAAACAAGACTGACCTAGAAAGCCACTCAGTGCAATTCTACTTGTTAGTTTTGCTTGCTGAATTTACATACCCGTTTATTTCTTCATTACATAATGTAGTATTATTTGAAAGCAGTTGGAGCCTAGGTAGATTTGCGTTAATAGATTAGGCAAGAATCAAGTAGTGACAGCTTAGCATTTTGTAACATTGAAAGTGTAGATTTTATACAGAATACGATCAGCAGAGTGTTTAGACTGCCTGTTCTTGTTACTGTGAACTCCACAGAGTTCGGCATCATGGTCACCATCTTTGGTGTACCTCTGGAGAGCTGCTGACGGGTTAACTAAATGCTTTAGAATCCATTCAGTTTCCTAGATTTTAGAGTAACTTCCAAATGAACTCTTAGTGAAAGTTAAATTATATATAGGTAATCTGGTAATCATGCGCTGAAAAAAAGGTAATGGATAGTTTATATTTTGTATAAAGACAATTTAATATAATCCCATTCCATTGCCCTGTAGTCTGCTGCTTGCTGTAGCTGGAAGAGGATAGAGCAGCCCTGCTCCGTCGTCCTTCTGTAGCAGCAGCAACAGAGCATAGCCGTCAAAGGAGCTACTGTTTTATATGCCTAGTCTTAAAGGAGGGACTGGGCGATGGAACTAGCTTCCCACTACGTGCGGGGGCCATTCTTGCACTCATCAAAAGGCAAATCTAAAGAGAAAATTCTCCACCCCCTTGCCACTGCAGCTCAAAGGCCTAACAAGAGCTAGCTTAGTTCAGTTATAGATGAGAACAGAACATGAATCTTAACTATAAAGTTTTATTTTGTCTTTTTTTTTTTAAGGGCTTGCCTGTTGCTTTAGACAAACATATTCTTGGTTTTGACACAGGAGGTGAGTGATTTTGTTTGAATTCAAACTATTTTTAGAGAATAGGTGAATATTTGGGGGAGAAATGGGCAAGTAAATGGTCTTGAATACTGATTAATGCAGTTTTCTTATAAAATAGATGCAGTTCTTAATGAAGCTGCTCAAATTCTGCGATTGCTGCATATAGAAGAGCTCAGAGAGCTACAGACAAAAATTAATGAAGCCATAGTAGCTGTTCAGGCAATTATTGCTGATCCAAAGACAGACCACAGACTGGGGAAAGTTGGAAGATGAACATTTTAGGATTTCAGCTTCTCACCTCCTTAGTACCATTGGGAACCATGTACGCTCTGGCATGTGTTTGGAAATCAAATGTCACATTTTCAAGGGAAGAATCCTAGAAAATTGACTCTGTTCTCGAGATTTACCATCATTGCTTTTTCTTTAATAAAGTTCAGGAAAGTGGATTTTTTTTTTGACTGTTATGTTTATGTATCTATAATGCCGACCCCGAGCTTTGTTACAGAGACAATACAGATAGTCAAATCATAGGAAAACTTAAAATATTTTATTGGAGTAATCTAGAAAATTTGAGAATTGTTACATCTTTGGTATTTATAAATGTAATAACTTCTGTGGGTAACTATAGAGGGACTTACAGAATCAGAAGATACAAATTGAAACATTCTAGCACCTTTTAATATAAATAGAAATGCAGTGATGCAGAGGTAAAAAAAAAACAAAACTTAGAACTTCCGCTGGAAAACTATAAATAAGTTGTTTTTTTCCCCACCAGTTCTGCATAGCCTTCTCCAGGTCAAGGCTTATGATCTTTAGGATTGCATCTTTATATGGATAACCTTGCTTTAATTTCTTGGCCAGAAAATTAGATTTAAAAAATTAGATTTAGGGTTGTCACATATTCTGATTGGTTCTTAGTTGAATGAACTTGACCTTTTAAATATGATAGAAATGTTTATTAAAAAATTGCTTTAATAAGCAGCAATTAAAATTGTTACTTTTTAAAACTTGTGGTAACTTTTGTTTTTCAAAATACAGTAGTAAAGATTGAGGTATAAACTTTTCACAAGTTATATAGTTTTTGTCCTGCAAGTGTTCATCTTGTAAGTCCAATTCCTTTTTCACTTTCTTCACCTTTGCAGTAAATGTTCTTTAGGGTCCAGATTCTGATTGTAAACTCCAAGTCCTTTGTGATGCCATATTTACTTTCTTCCTGTGAGGAGAGGTGGAAGGAACAGTGGGTGAATATCTTATAACCAGTTGCAACAGCAAGTATTGTTAAGGGGAAATATCCTAATAGGCTGACCTTTTATGTGTATAGTTAAGGTAGGTAGACTTAGGGGTGAACAATCGTTAGTACCCTATGTGTTGGCCATTAACTTTTCCATTCAAAATGGCTCTCACTGGCGGTGGCAGCCGTATTTGGGCCACAGGTAATTGGTTACCAGATACATCCTTCTCTACCCTGCTGGTCCAAAGGAGCAGCCTGAGCATTTTATTTACCTGTTGGGCAGTAGGGATAGACCGCAGTTATCCCGTAGAGATGAGATCGCTGCTCTGGGAGATACTCATCAGCAAACTGGCCGCTGTCTCTATTTACTGATATAACACCATCCCTGGTAACAGAAAGGAAGAGTAAATTCGTAGGATTTAAGGTGGGGAAGAAAAAAAGTCACTTTCAATAGAGAATCTCTGTTCGCTAGCCTTCTAGAATGTATTTTTTAAATTTAACCAAATGTGTTTTGACTCATTTAGATTCAAAGATTTTCTCTATCACTGGTTCTCAAAGTGGTCCCCAGACCAGCATCATCTGGGAACTTGCTAGAAATGCAAATTCTTGGGCCTTAGCTCAGACCTACTGAATCCGGAATTATGGGATGGGACCTGGCAATATATTTTAACAATCCCTTGGAATGATTCTGATGCCACCGTAAAATTTTGAGAACCACTGGTGCAAATCAGTGCTTCTCAACCCTTGCTGAACAAATTACTTGAGGATCTAGTAAGTAGTAAGATACTGATGCCTGGGCCTCCTGCCAGACCAATTAAATCAAGACTGCAAGGGATGGGGTAGAAGGGCTTAGACATCTAGATATGTTTTTAATGTTCCTCCTTGGAGAACTAGTCTAAATTACAGTACTTTTTCTTCTCCCAGGTGGACAACTAGTATGTCCATAATGTCATTTTTAAAAAAATCAATTTAAATCACACAGCTAATAGAGCTCAGGGTACCACTTAAGTGTAGTCTTTTATTCTCTGAAGATCAGACTTAGATTAATGCACTTCCTTTTTTGGATAGTTTAGTATCAGTTCTGCCACTTTTGAGCAGCTTGTGAGCAATACCGTTAAGTATGATTTTAAAAGCAATAACACTTGAACAATGGTTATCTACTAATTAAGAGATAATGAAAACTTCAGTGAAAAGCTTTCTTACTAAAGTCATTAGTGACATTAGGTAAAAGGTCATAAACGGTGGTATGTCTTCCAGACTAGTCTGCCTTTTCAGGCTTGGTCAGGGTGTGTCAGGCTCACCTCCTCCAGTCTGTGTGGTAGAAGTGATCTGCATAGCTGACAATACTGAAGGGGTAGTTGAGGTTGTTCTGAATGACGCGACGTCCGGTCCCATCAGGTAGTGTACACTCTAGTTTTTTGGTTCCTTTTAAAACACCAGAGAGGGAAAATGAGATCATTCATACCATGAGAAAAGAAAACTTGGCCAAAAATTGTGGCAGGTAGAAGCCTTCTGAGGTAGAATAGGAAATAAGACCTTTTAATTATATAGTGATACAAATTAGAAACTAAAATCTTCCTATTCTATTACCATTCTTCAGTTTGTTTAATAGCATTGTAGTTTTTAGAATTTAGACTCTTGATCCTTTCTTGGAAGAGAGGATTGCATTTTTTTCTCCCAAAATAGGACATTAGAGATGAAATTAATTAGAACAAAGTTTAAGTGTCACCTCGTAAATTGTAAACATAACATCTAGATAAATACTTGCTCTCCATAAGCAGTGTATAATGCCTTTTAACTAAAATCCTTAAATATTTTTTAAAGACCTGTTATTTCCTAGGTAGGAATTAAAAGTAGCTAAAATGGTAACATGGCTCATGTTTTTCAGTGTAAAAGAAGCAGTCTTCAAAATTTTGTAATACCTAAACAAATTTCTTATGGAACCTGGCTTTAAATTTCAAATACTTTTTCTTTAAAGTTACATTTTTAAAAACTAACTGTTGTTTTGGACCAACTGGATTATAATATTGACTCATCTGCGTTCTAGTCCTTTTTATTACATTATAAATTCTTTAAGAATGGACCTTTTTGTATTCTTTAGTATGTAAGTAGACATATATAGCATCTTTTCAAATTGTTCTAAGGAAATCACACTACAGAAAGAGGGAACTTCGGTATTGGCAACCGGAACTTACTACTGATGGCCATCCTGCCACATCACTTTCCAAAGAATGTTCTCAGCATACTAGCCTCCTGACTGGTAAAGCAACAGATATTTAAAAATGTCCTAATACTGGCAAAAAAGGAAAACCTTTTGTTCACTTACTAAGTTTGTCAGTTTCAAAAGTAAAATTTCTTTTTAAAAAGTATACCAAGTGCTTGTGTGGGAGAAGGGCAAGCATTACAAAAATGAGTTGGACATAGTACTAGCCCTCAAATTACCACCTAATTCACAGACCACCGCCCCCCCCCCCGAAAACCCCAGGAAGGATTATAAGTATCAATACAAAGTGTTCTTTAACAGTTTGTACACCTACTAAAAGGAGTAAGTTCTGTGCTGTACTGTTAAAAATTTAAGCCAAAAGCTCTACATGATGGCATCTGGTTTTGTTGTAAACTCTGAGGTAGAGAGCGGCCCCCAGGGTAATGAAGTGCTGTGTGTTCGCTACCATCAGTAATACCTGCGTCTGCCCAACAGAGCAGTTTGGAGAAGGGGTCAAAGGTTAAACCATTAGGTAGTCCAATGTCTTTATTCACCAGAATTCTTCTGTTTTCTCCTTCTAAAGAAGATGTTTCAATTTTGGGAGCTTCTCGATTCCAGTCCGTCCAGTACAAGTTGCTGTGGGATAAATTAAATATAGTGAAAATGCAGTCCAAGAAATAAGGGTCAGTTTCAGAGTTTTGGTTGCTTTCACCATTTAATGAAGATAAACGTAGGATTTCAACACTAGGATTTCCTAATGCATTGCTGAAGGAGACCCGCCTCATTCCAGGTTAAGTGTTAGGCAGCCTGGCCTGATCATCTGATCCGCATCAGCCCCAGTCCTTCTGACATAGTCTCTGAATTCTCTATGTACTGTACCACAGTCTTAATAATTTTCTAGTTTATTCATTAGTTTACTACCTTACTTCCTCCTAGAATGTTCTCAGCATACTAGCCTACTGACTGGTAAAGCAGCAGATATTTAAAAATGTCCTAATACTAGCAAAAAAAAAGAAAACCTTTTGTTCACTAAGTTTGTCAGTTTCAACAGTAGGTAAAATTTTTTTTACTTTAAAAAGTATACCAAGTGCTTGTGTGGGGAAAGGCAAGCATTCATGAAAGAATGGACCTTGTCTTTACCTAGAAGAGTGTCTACACCCAGTAGATCCTATATACTGTTAAATTCACACATTGGAGCTTTTACGTTCTTGTTCTGACCCTCCCCACGTGGCATTTAAAATCCAAGGGCTTCAAATTAGGATCTACAGCAGGCAGGGGAATCGGGAAGCCCAGCTGACCCTTGGATTGGATCCACAGCAATGGCCCGAGGATTCACCAGGTCCGTGTGGAAGAGGGCTTGGCGCTCAGAGCCGTCCAGCCTGGCCCTCTCTATCTTGTCCAGGCCACTGTCCGTCCAGTACATTGTTCTACGGAAGTGGTCGATGGCAAGTCCTTCAGGGCTTATCAGACCTGGAAATAGAACAATGGCAGGACTGGAGCATTTGCAGTATGAAAAGGGAACCTGAAGTGGAGACATATTCTAGGTTTGAAAAGTTTAAAAAATAAAGTCCTGAGAGGCTCTCAGTTGCAAGGAGCAGGTTCACAGAGGAACTTGTTCTGCCACCTCTCGTTCTCTTCTAGACTAATACACCGTCCGGCCTGGTGGCACCAGGCATATTCACAGTGTGGGGCCAGGCAGCGTCAGCTGTGGCCTCCCTGAGTTCTCTCGGGAGCCTTGTTTCTCAGGAAGAATCACCTCCTCGTTTCTTACATATGAATGTGTGTTTACAGAGGGGCTGGTATGTACCGTTACCACTCAGTGAAGTGACTTGTATGGCACTTGACCTCCCTTTTTTTTTTTTTTTTAAGATTTTATTTATTTATTTGACAGAGAGAGAGAGAGAGCGAGAGCAGGAACACAAGCAGGGGGAGTGGGAGAGGGAGAAGCAGGCTTCCCGCCAAGCAGGGAGCCCGATGTGGGACTCGATCCCAGGACCCTGGGATCATGACCCAAGCCGAAGGCAGACGCTTAACGACTGAGCCACCCAGGCGCCCCCTGACCTCCCCTTTTGCACTTAGTAGAGTCAGATGAAATACAAAGGGGTCTTCTGGAGGAAGACCTGACCTGAGTTGATGATCGTCTCAGGCTCTGCTCCTGGTTCCAGACTGGCACGGCTGATTGTCCGTCCAGCAACATCTGTCCAGTACACCATCCTCTCGCGGCAGTCATAGTCAATTCCCACAACTATGGAGCCCTTTGTGGACCAAGACACGAAATTGGAAGAATTAGGACTCCTTGCGTTTCCCTGGAGCTCGCGCTCAGCTGCCCCTCGCATGGCCGTAGTGAACAACCCGTACGTAGTCTCAGGGGCAGCTAAGCAGCGTGGTTACACGAGTGGGCCTGGAGGCGGACTTCCGGGGGCCTGGCCAGGCTTAGCCACCGACTAGCCGTGCGACTTAACCTCTCTAGGCCTGGGTTTGTTCGTTCGCAAAATGAAGATAACAGGACCTCCTTTATAGTGCTGCTCTAAAAATTAACACCATAAATTCTTCTACAGTGTCCTAATCAGTCATTAGTCTGCAGCAAGTGCTTAATAAGCGCTATTACTGCCAGCACTAGTAAGATGATTTCATGAAAAACAATCAGCCCCTTCAGTGATTAAAGGACAAACGTTAGTCTTAGCAAAGTAAGTTCTTAATATTTTACTGGGCAAAAAATACCCGTTATTCCTTCCAAGTGGTCTCTGCACTTTTGAAACAGCCTTTCTAAAATTCACCAACATATGACGACAACATCTGTTCCCCTCCCCCTGTGAATATAATCCTTCCCCTGAGGTGTCCTCCCTCACCCCATCTCTCTGCTTACTACAAAGCAAACTTTTTGGTTGTACGCTTAAGTAAAAGTCTCCAGTTGGATGGGTTAAGGAATTGGAGACTGGTGGTCACCAAACCTCTGGCTAGGAAGGTCTTCCCTTCTTCATTGCTAAATAAATAACAGTCTTTTTTTTTTTTTTTTAATGCTGAGTCTGTGATATGTCTTTGCAAAACTCTGCACAGTACTTGCTTCATTCAATTTCCAGCTCAGACTCCTGGTCTGAGAAACTGAACAGATGTGCAAAGCCAACATCTAGGGGCCATCTGGCTGTCCCTGAGATCACACCAGTTCCTGACTTGCCTAACAGAGCCTCCTGGGGCTGGCTTGACATGCCTCTGGGAGCAGAGTCAATATAAAAAACACTGAACAAAGCAGGATTTGGCTCCTGTGAAAAAGTGGGCAGTATATATGGAAGGATCTGAAGGTCAAAGTATCGTTTCACTTGAAAAGTAAAAGTCCTCTGTCTCAGGCAGGAATGCACATCCACGTCCGTTTCCATTGACCTAGGGAATCATGGGATCTGTTAACCCATGTATTGACTTCCAAGTTTCTTGGAAGAATAAATCATTTTAAGTAAATTTCCCCAAGATGTGCTTACAGCCCATGTTCCATTCTCTTTCAAAAGAGTTCCACTAGCAGCACCACCACCCTGCCCTAGGAGCGGCAAGTTCAGAGAGGCAGGACAGCCGTCAGACTCGGCTGGATGGTTAGACTGAGGTGTTGGCAATTTCTTAGTTTCTACATCTTTTACAGAAACTTACACAACAGCTTGCTAGTGTTTGCCAACACGACTACAAAACCTAAATCTTAAGGAAAAACACATCTTCCTCTGAATACTGGCTGCTTCTACACTTTTTTTGGAATCTGATAAGGCATTAGTTCATTAACAAAAGTAAAGGCAAACATGGACATCGTACTGTTCTTTATCCTAGATAGCAAGTACCTGCGGCATGAGGTTTAGAAATGGAATCAGATGGCTTTCCTTTATAAGTGGCAGTGCCTTTCTGGTGAACTCCCTTCTCTTCTCTCCATTTTAGAGAAGAAATCCCTCCTCCAAAATGGAGTGCCTTGTCAGTAGGGATGCTGCTGGTGCAGGAAGCAACAGGCATCTAGGGAAAGCTTGTCGGCTCCTTTCCCAGCATCCCCCCCTCCACCCAGATCTTCTGTGAAGGAGTTAGAGAAGAGACTGATCCACAGAACCAGAATGGGAGGGGAGGGGGCTGCAACAATGAGGCAGTCATTAATTTCTTCCCACTTGGGATTCGTAACTGACCACAGAAACCACACCCTTTCGCTGGTCCTCCTGGACCCTCTGGAGAGGTCTGGCATGGAGAGGACCCTGGGGACTTGGGCTAAGGTTCTGTCACTTTTGCCTTGGATCACCATACTGCCTCAATATCCTGACAGATCTGAAACTCCCTTTCCACTTATCCGAAACCCCATGAACCATTGGAGAAAGCCTGGGTCAGTCAGACAGAACTCCCGGCAGCAGTGCCCCCACTTCCTGTGAGAGCAGTGTCAGACTGAGAGAGTCGGAGTCCAGCCCAGAAACTCTCCAGGACCTCCCTCTACCTCCGGCCCTTGCCCAGATCTGAAAGCCCTGTGCAGCCCCGCCCCCACGGCAGAAATCCACTTTACATGCAGTGACAGCAGGGTCTTGGCCATGTCCTTCTGAAGCCTGGTTCCATTGAGGGGCAAGTGACCGATCTGCTGGCCCTGGGCGTAGAGCAGGAAGGTGCCCACAGATGGAGGGGTCACGTCAGGCCGAGGCACGGGCCGGACTGTGGGCGGAGCAACCGTGGGGATACCTGCCGTGGGAAAGTACGAAGAACAGAGAGGAAAGGCAACAAGGGTAGGTGGGGAGAGGGGAAGAAGTTACTTTCCACACAGAACCTCCAAAAACATCAAAAGGTTTTTACCCTAGACAGATGTGTTCCAGATGTTCCTTAAAAGAAATTCTAATTTCTAGGGTTTTTTTCTTCCCAAGGATTATGTAAAACACTGCCAATTACTAGGGAGGAAGACAACAAAACATTTCCCCTCAGAACAAAGCAAAAGGTTTTTTCTTTTTAAAGGAAAGAAACTAGTCAGTATTGTATCCGCTTTTCTCTGGGCCCCCAGGGTGACACGTGTCTCCTTTCACCCTGCGCTGGGGAGGAGGAGTAACTGCACGTTGAGCTGAGTTCCAGATGTTCTAATTACAGAAACTGCTAATGACAAAACCAAACATGAAATCCAAATTGGGATCTTGGGTAGACCAGATTATAAATCAACACGGCGTATTAGTGACTTCTTTCACCGGCCTTGGGAACCCCCTATTTCCCCATCTTCACCCAGAGCTGGCAGTTGCCCTCCAGCAAACCCTCCGAGCAGATGTGGTGAACGGGGGTGGTCCCTGGGTGCTTACAGGCAGGGGTGGTGCCTGGCTGCGAGCGGGTGCCCTGCACTTCTCTGCCATCTTTGTCCACGCACCAGCAGAAGTCACTCGTCCCGTGGCACTGCAGGGGGATGAAGTGGCCCAGGTCATCACACTGGGGCACATACTGGTCGTCCCTGGGCGTGCCACCGTAGTGCTCCAGCAGGTTTTCCCTCCAGCGCTCACAGACGGTCCGGGGCCTCTGGGTGGGCTCTGAGCAGATGGGGACAAAAAGCCTTTGATGGTGAGCCCAGGACAGAATACAGCATGTAGCTGAAGTTCCCCACACCTGGCCTCCCTCCTCCTAGTGTCCGCCAGCAAGGCCTCGGCCAAGCCCCCGGACACTGGACCGAAGCAGTAAAGTGCTCTACGAAGCTCTCCACAGGAATCCGGAGAAACAAAGTCTCCTGGGCCAAGAGGATCTGTCATCAAGGCCCAGCCACATCGGTAGCAAGAGGAGGTCAGATCAGGGGTGCAAGGCACGCTCCGGCCGGGAGAGGCCCACGGGGACCACTCTGCCTGGGCCCAGAGCTCTGCTAACAGAGCACTTGGTGGGGACCCTCATCGGGAACTCAGTGGCCTACATGATAATTAAAGGTAGTATTTATTCTTTCCCACTTGGTTCAGGCTCCAGGACCTACACCCCAGAGGGCAATCTTGAGACTGGCCATGTGTCTTAGAAACTCCCTGAGTGCTCTACTTACGTGGCCCTCGGTGTCTGCTCACTGGGAAACTATATGGAGTAAGACTTGCTGTAATTAGCATCTGTGAGCACAGCAGAGGTGGGGGCCAACTCCATACTGACTGACAGACACTCCAGTTCCTGGAAGCCCTTTGGCTCAGAGCTGAACCTTTATTTCGGCAGGCTCCAGCTTCCCGCCATAGAGCTCTGCCCCCTCCCTTCTCCAGCATCCTCCCCTCTCTGCTCCCCCTCCCAGCTCCCCACCAGGCTCAACCTCCTGCGAGCTCTTGCAGAGTGGTTTCTCTGGCTGTTTTCTCCCAGCCTTGCTTCCAAAGGGCTGTCACTCTGTCGTAAACATAGCGGTTCTTGGTCTGCAGGAACTCTGCTGCAGGATGTTTAAATAACTCGTCCACCCATCTAGCATAGGCTTATCTAAAGGAACTCAAATAGAAGGTGCTGCTTTTTTAATTCCTGCAACTGAAAGCGTGTGGTCTGTAGAGTCATACAGCCAAGTACCTACTCGATACCACCACCTAGGTGTTTAACATCCATCTCAGAACAAAAATGGGGCCCCTCCTTTCCACCACCAAAGCTGCTCTGCCCTAGACTTTTCCCTATCAGTAAACAGCACCTCCATTTTCCATTGTTCGGGCCCAATCATCCTTGATTGCTTTCTCTCGCTTTCCACATCTGATAGGTCAGAAAATGTCAGCTGTCCCTTCAAAATACATTCAGAAAATCACTTCTCACCTCATCCACCCCATCACCCTGGTCCAAGCCCCATGGTCTCCTGCTAGGATTATTACCAAAGCTTTCTTACTCGTTCCGTGGCTTCCCCTCCCTTTCCTGCCCCCCAGTGTAAACTACCAGCAGCCAGGAAGAGTCCCTTTAAAACAATCATTTCATGGCACTCCTTTGGTCAAAACCTCCAATGGCTTCAAAGAACAAAGTAGGAAACGTTACACTTTGGTTCTAGTACCAAAGGGTACCTCTAGGAAAGCGGGAGGGTGGTAAATAAAATCCTCAGAGCTCAAACCCAACTAGCTCAACTACAAGACTCACTGGGTTTGGGGGAAGTGGATGCTTTTCAGGTCGTCTCTATAGCTCATGACCCTTGGGAAGCCAAGTTCTTTTTAAGACCTCATGGAGGAGGAGTCTCGCTCTTCCTCCCCTAGATGTGTCTCAAAGACCCCAGACGGGGAAATGTCGCTTCCTCAAACCACTAGCCATCCATCTCAAGGTGGGATTCCCTGCAGAAGCTCCCAACACTGCCCCAGGCCCACATTGCAAACTCAGAGGGTACGTTCTTGGTTCAGGGGACCACCCAATAAGGCAAAGTTCTTTGTCTGGAATGCAGACACACAGCACACCCAGCTTCTGGGAAATGGGCACCTCACATCACTGATATGTGTGCCTCCCTCTTGTTCCTTACTATTTGGAGCTCCTCCTTAATTCAACCACAGATTTCTCTCTTTTCTGTTTTTGGTTGGCAGGGCTTTTAAATATTTTGAAATCTTGGACACAGAGTGTTTTCCCTCCCTTCAAGCCAACCCCATTAATGCAGAGACTAGTCAGAAATGGCAGCCAAGGCCGAACCAGCACCAAGAGAGAAGTCTGGGCCATGGAGAAAGATTCTGCACAAGAGAACATGTCCCTCCTTGAGTCGTTAACTTCTCATTCTCTTGGCTTCCTTCTGAATCACTGTCCTTAACACAGGCTTGTCTTAGTAAGTGTAACAGAACTCTGAACCATTCCCAACCATCTGATTTTTTTAAATCCCAGATGGAGTTAGAACCGAGACTTTTTAAAGAGTAGACATGAGTGAAACAGGATTTTTCTGGGTGGGTGTGTTTTTTTTTGGACCTACAAAATCTTTTACTAAAAATAGGGACAGAGAGGAACTAGGAGTGTCACTGTGGAAACAAGGACATACATCGGAATCAAGCATTACCAATTTTTACCTATATGCACCTTAGAAGCACTAATGTGCTGGCCATAACGATATTATTGAAGGGATCAAAACTGGTGGTAATTCTCCAGCTCTTCTTACTCTTATACGTGAAAAGCCAAAATTAGTACTTATCTTTCTCAGTAGTAAAAATGGACCTCTGAATAGCAAGTTCATGGCTTTAGGAATTACTTTGGCTAAAATGGTATCAAATCAGTCCTATGTTCTTCATAATAAAGTTCTGCCCACTCTGAACAACTCAGCAAGGAACACAAGCTGCCCTGGCATGAAACGTGAGCACTTGACCGCCAGGCTCCACCCAGACAGGGAGTGCTCAGACGGTAACAGACGAGTTCACTGTCAGCATCTCCGACCACACGGGCTAACACAACAGGTTCCTGCGCCTCTTCTGATGGTGGCCGGGGCAGGCGAGGGGTTCCCCATCCACATGCCAGGCCTGGCTGGAGAGAGCTGGGGTGATCAGTTTAGTGCAAACCAGCTAGACCCACCCCCAGGTGTCCTACCTATTCTTCCTATCAGTACTAAAATGGCCTTCATACTGTTTGCTGCAATTCGGAAGGCGGAGCGAAGGGATAGGAATGTGGGCAGGCAGTTTTCCTTTTGGACGAAAGGCCAGTCTGGCAGGATCCTCTCGCTCTAAGATCTCCCAAAGCTGCCGTAACAGATGCAGGGCAGTGGCCTCAGCCTGACCGACACACTCAATCTCCACTTCCAGGCTTGTCCTGGACAAGTGTGAGGCCACAGTCTAGCATGCGGCAGTGATCACATATGTACCTCTGTCCGTCCCTGTCACAGCAACATGCACACGGGTGTGCACAGACCATTCCAGTGTTCCTAGGAGGAAGGAGCCGATGACAGGGCGGAGATCGGCCCAGGGTCTGCACGGTCTGGGCAGGGGTGATCATCTGCCCCCCCGGTCAGCACCGTTCTGCTTCTGGAGCCCCAGGCCGAGGCTGGAAGCGGTTCTCTTCCCTGACTGGCTCACCTGGTGGTCCGCAGCGCGGCGGCATGGAGCCGGGGGGAGTCCGCGTGCCGGGGACTTCGCGGCCGTCGGGGTCCACGCACCAGCAGAAGCCGGTCATGCCGTGACACTGCAGTGGCAGGAAGCGACCCTGCTCATCGCACTGGGGAATGTGCAGCCGGCTGCCGGTAGAGGTGTGCTGAGCCTGCGCGTGGCGCTGCTGCTGTTCGCAGGGCTTCAGCCCTGAGGAGGGGTCTTCCGAGGCCGGGGTAAAGGAGACGGACAAAGGACGAATAAAAGACTGCAACCCATCCACTTATACCAGCTAACTTCAAAGCTCCTATCCGAGGGGTTTTTTGTTTTTCCCTCTGTATACTTGGACGGTAGCATCGCATGGGAAAAAGAGCAAGGCACTGAGATTTTGAACTCCTGGATTCTTTTAGTTCTGTCACTATCTCCCTAATTTCTCCGATTCTCACAGTTCACCCTGTCCTGAGCTGACTCCCCACTGCTGTCTGGGTAAAATGAAGAAACACCCATGGCTTCTGTCCAAACATCCCAAGAGACTTGGGAGAAAATTCAGCCCCTGAAGTCCAGAATTTAAGTCTGAGAAGCTCCGAGTCAATGGCAATCACTAGATTGCACCGTGCTGGCCAAGACCCCCTCGAATAGTCATGGGGGCTGACTACCAACTCACTAGTGCATACGTTTAGTAAGCTTGATCTCAGTACTTCATCTCAATCACACTTACTGAGGCAAAGCCCATCACGAAGGGAGCTGACCACTAGGTGGGACGCTAGGTAGGACAACGGATGGCTCATACTCCTGGCCTCCCAGAACGCTAATAACCAGTGAGCTCTCCGTAAACTAGGCAGCTAGAGGGAACAGGAGAAGCCTTGGTCTCCAATAGGAGTGGACTGAAGGCTGTAGAAAAATCGCACTGAAGGAGTCAGGGTTTTCTGTGCCTTGTCTGGCTCTCCAAACCTTACCTGGTGTGCACTTAAGTCCATCCCCATGGTAGCCAGGGTGGCATCGGCAGGAGAAGGAGCCTGGGGTATTGTAGCAGGTAGCCAAGGGGTGACATCTGTTTTCCGAGCATTCATCGACATCTGCGGAGGCAGGAACAGGGATGAGGGGGTGGGGGTGGGAGGAAGGAACAGCATGACTTCACTGCACACAATCGGGGCTACTACACGGCCTTAATACACGTGGGTCAACGGCAAGGGGTCAACCTCAGAAGACCTCTGGGCATGAGCAGGAATATGATGACAGCTAAAGGCAAGCTTAATGTACAAGGTTGAGGGACATGGGAGTTAATGTGCAATGTGGTCACTTCCAGAAAAAAAATATCCTGCAGTGTATTTCTAGAGCATCTTTCATCCACAGTGAATTCCAGGAAGTCATCACCTTTGAACTAGCCTTTAGACTGTAAATCATTCACTTCCTGTCCGTCCCGCAGCAGTGAATGTGTGTAACAATGGCTTTGTTCTTGCACTGCTGGCTCGCTGTCCCTCTAGCATCGAGATGCAGATGCAAAGCAGCCAGAAGAGGCTCCCAGGGCTTTTTCAACTAAGGTAGAAGCACGTTCAGTCTCATGCAATCAGAGTCCTACTATCTACAATGCCCAATCAATCAGAAATTTTCTCTACTTTCTACCTTTAGAAAAAATAGAAAAGTGTAAGAAAAATATCACAAGTTTTGAACCAACACATAAAAAAGTCTAAATTTGTTAGGCTTATCAGTGTCAACAATTCAGCACCCCCCCTCCACACGATACCAGAAGATTTTCATAATTCTCAAAACTGCAACATCCCGGAACTTCAAACGCCAGCTTATAGTCCTTTTATTTACTGCAATCAGCATGGGCTGACAGTAGCAAGGCTCTCCTCCCTCTCCCCACAAAAAACCTCAGAGAGTCAGACTATTAAAACCAATGGCCAGGGGTGCCTGGTGGAGCATACAACTCTTGATCTCGGAGCTGTGAGTTCGAGCCCCACGTTGGGTGTAGAGATTACTTCAAAATTTAAAAAAGAATTCTTAAAAAAAATACATAAAACAAAAGCAATGGCCCATGATTAAGCTATCTGCAAAGACAAGAAGTCTTCCAGAGTAAAAGGAAGATAAAGGGTGTAGGTCTGATCAAGTCTCGACTGAAAATAAAAGAAAGCAGTCGCTTCCACAATGATACCCCAAAAATGATTTAAAAATGTGTTTATAGGAAAAAATGTGGGTTGGGATGATCAGTGTGAAACCTAGAAGTCCCAGAAGTGAATTGCATCCATTCGCTACAGCCCGCCAGGATGCCGGAGGGTGACAGCCTGAATGTGATGTGAATCGGCTGGGGACAGAGGTGGCTCCTCGCCCAGCCTCCCAGGCACCTGATGAAATCTGCTCTAGGGCTGTCGGTACCAGCCTTGTTATGACCACGCTCTCACCGAGCCCCCTTCCCATGGCTCAGCTCCTTTCCCAGGTACTGGTGAGTGGACATGCTGGATGTGAAACCCAGATGTCTGTTCACAGGAGAGGAATCTCTTACACTGTAATTAGCAAATTCACATTCTGTGTGTCCTCAGGCTTGGGGAAGTTTGGTCAAAATAAATGAGCTCCCTTAAGTCCAAAAGAATCCTGAATGCTTGACACAACCAAGTTCAATGCCACCCAGAGAGGCTCTGCCCAGATGAGCAGCTGGCCTCCCTGGTTACCTTCCTGTCCACCTACAAAGGTGGGAAAGTAGTTACACATTCATCTGCAAAGTCAGAAACAAACAAGGTTTTCTGGTTAGCTCCTCAGTTACCCAAAAGAAACCAAACCAATCACAACAAAAACCCTATCTCTGATCTAATCAATAAGGGTTCTCTATTGTCATATTTAATTATCCCTGAATTTGGCTCTTGTCTCTTCAGAAGGACAACCCCAGTACCTAGCTGGGTGAAGCCGGTGGCCATCCAGCTCCCTGGGCCTGCAAAACGCTGTGAAACCAAAGCTGTAAAAATGAACATCCAGCAGGAAAGTAAATGCAGGAAGTTAAAGCTATTCATAATACATATGCTAAAAGTACTTCTCATGCTAACAGGAACCCCAGGCAATGACAGGAAGCAGGAATTCCTGAGACACAGGGCCTAATTCTAGAACCCAGGGATCAGTTTCTTGAGATTATTTTTGAACTCAGAGAGAGGGGACGCCCCAGAGCTACCAAGTTAACTCATGTTCAGAAAGCCTATGGCCTAGGAGTTCTGATCAGAGTGAAAGAGCAGGTATCCTCCCCACAGATACGAGAGTTACGGGGAGGGTAGTAATGGGTATAAATGACCAACTGGGAGATGGAAAGCATTACAAGTGGGGAGCCCCCGTCCCTTAAAGGCTGGAGGAGGTTAAGTCTCCCCAAAGCACAGTCCTTGATGCCTCCTTGAAAGACAGACCTCCCACCATGACAGAAGATAATCCTGTCAGCCACTCCAGGGCCTGAGCTCAGAGCAGGCTATGACTCCTCCTCAGGAATGCTAACACTGCGGGGGGTGTTTGGAGGGAACTGGAGCTTTTGAGTAAAGAAGGGGAGCTCCTCCCTATGTCACAGGATGTCGGGTGTCAGGACAGAAAGCATGGAAAGACTTTCAGCCCCTTGGCAAGGGAGAAACTCCTTGTACCACTGGGGGAGGGGGCTGCCATTGATGCTTATCAATGTCAGGGGTCTTTAGGAGCTGTCAGGACACTGAGGTCAAGACAACAAAGCTCAAGGCATAGTAGAGCTCCTTTGCTCTTCAGATGATGAAACATGGCTTCATCTCAGCATAATTCTCCATTCTATTACCTATTAAACTGGTAAAAAGAACAAAACAAAACAAAAAAACCTGTATGGAAAATTTGTTAAAATCCTCCATTTTGAATTCACACTTTGGTGTTCCAACACTCTTGTCACTGCCCTCCTTCTGCCCACACCCAAAACCAGGTGAAGTCCCTTTGAAACAAACCCAGTCACTGGATTACCAGATTCTAGCTCCCCCCAACCCATCCCACCCCACCCCCTTTGCTTCCAAACCATCCAGTGAAATTTCCAGAGCCCAGTAAAGGCTTCTGCCCACAAGTTCTCATTCCCCACCTATTCAATCAAGCACCCGGCTGGTTGTGCCCTGGTGTGGTATGCGGTGACCCTTTCTCTGGGACCCGTGAGTGTAAGAAACTCCCTCCTTTCAAGCCCTGCTCTCCTCTGCTGTGGCTGCATCGACTTTACCATACCTTACCTAACCTCTCCATTCTTAGAACAGGAGACCTGAGAAAGACTACTCCACATACCTCTTCTCATGTCCCTCCTGAGCAGTCAGGGCTCTGAGCGACCGCCCACCTGTTCAACTCACGCTTGCTCTTCCCTGGAAAGAGCCTAACTCAAGACAATCTGCTTTTGCACCTAGCAAAGTCACCAAGATCTAGGAGGACCAACAGGCCTGAGAAACACTGGCTCACTCCAATACAAGGTTGGAATCAACCCTGAAACCGTTGAAATCGGGGTTGATTGAGGGAAGCTGGAAAAGATTTAACTCTACTCGGGTAAAAGTGATTCCTGCTGGTGACTCAGACTAGACTGAGAGCCCAAAGCCAAGTCCAGTCTCTCCAGGGAACTCCGTTTTTGACCAACCGGCTAGAGCAAACCCCCACACCCTTTTATTGCTACTTTAATGGAGGAAAGAAAAATACCCGTGCTTCAAGAATGCACACTTGCCACAAAGTAGAGCCTTTCTCTCTCTTTTTCCCGTTTTGCTCTTTTCTCTCTCTCTGTGGTCAGAGACACATGCACACTGTGGCATGCCTTTAAATATGTGTACACACACACACACACACATCCTGCAAGTTGCCTTCATGTAGGCATGGCATAGATCTTTAGGAAAATGACTATTCATTTGCTATTCTTGCAGTCTGAAAAGCCTAAATGGCAACTGATTTTGGGAGGCAGCTCTAAGGAAGCCCAAAGATCCCTCCCTCCTAGTATTTGTAACCTTGTGTAATCTCCTTCCCTTGAGTAACTTGCATCTAACTTCCACTTTGCTCACAGACTTTCTGCTACTGGCTTTGAGGAAGTAAGCCACTTTGTTCAAGGTCTGTGTGTCAAGAAGCTGAAGGTACCTCCTGGCAATAGCTAGCAAGGACCCGAGGCTCTCTGTCTTCAAGGAACTGAATCCTGCCAGTAACCATGTGAGGATCTTTCTCCAGTTAGGCCTTTAGATGAGATCCCAAGTCTACCACACCCCTTGTCGCAGCCTTGTAGGATCCTTTAAAGCAGAGGACCAAACTAAGCCATTCCCAGGCCCTTGACCTATAGACAATAAATGTGTACTGTTTTAAGCTGCCATACTTGGGGGTAATTTGTTATGCAGCAATAGATAACTAATACACTAGGGAGGCAACTGATGGGTTTGGCATGTTTTCAAGTTTGTGGGTTCCAGAGAAAATCCCAAAAGTAGAGAAGCAGAGATTGAATAAGGACAATTAAAAATGGCAGAAATCAGCAAGAAGGCAGTAATAACAATGAATGGCATTATTCCAAAGTCCTCAATTTGGAAAAATGGCCAATTTCAGGGTCCTAATATGACCCCAAAGGTAATCAAAGTCTTACAGGACAAGTAGAAGTTAAAAGAAGGAGAAGAGAATGATTCAGAAGGGATTAGGGCAAGAAACATCTAACTCAATTAACATTGATTATTAACACTCATCACATCTAGACTGCAACTAATTTCAACTTGTTAGCTTTAAACCAAAGACCTGAGGAGTTAAATACCTTGAAAGCACTATCTCTGCTGTCCCGAGCAGCCAGATGTTTAAATATGAAATTCTGACAAGATTTTGATTCTCCATGTAGTCTCATTTCTTAGAGCCAGTAGTGTGTTAAATGAAACTGAATGACGGGTGCCTGGGTGGCTCAGTTGGTTAAGCACCTGCCTTCAGCTCAGGTCATGGTCCCAGGGTCCTGGGATCAAGCCCTGCATCGGGCTCCCTGCTCAGCGGGAAGCCTGCTTCTCCTCCCTCTGCCCCCCACCCATGCACACACATGCACACACTCTTTCTCTCAACTCAAAATCTTAAAAAAAAAAAAAAAAAGAAAAGAAAAGAAACTGAATGACAAAGTTCCATGAGAGTGGAAAAAATATTATTCCCACTGTAAGAAATAACAAAACAATGAGGAGTTAGGGCACCTCACACCTTGACCCGCACACCTGTGGAGGCTACCCTCTCTCTGGAGAGTCCTATGACAGATGGAGCTCTTGGGCTGGTCAAGTGAGAGCATCTATGAATTCCAAATCTACCTCAGTCTAACTGGAGAAACACTTGAGCTCTAAAGCAGGGGGGTGTTTTTAGGAGGGGAAAAAAAAAAAAAAAGAAAACAGGGCTGAACTGAGCCACCACTTTGGGTCATTTCAGTATAAACTGTGTTTTTAAGAAAACCCTACAGCAGAGCTTCTGTACAACAGACGTGGAAACATTAAAGAGCCAGTTCAGACAATACCAAATGGCCCGTCACATCTGGGAAGGAGAGGACGGCTGGCTGCCCGGACACACTTGTTCTGTCCATAACATATGGCTTCCGTCTGCTGGTTCAGGCGGCCTCTCCAAGGAAACCAAAGGGAGGAGGAATGGGAGGAGGATGAGAAGCCAACATTTGGTAAAAGGTGGTGGTGGGGGGGGGGGCGTGCTATTTAAGCTGCTGTAAAACTCCCAGGAGTTACACAGCTGTTCTAGCAAATCAACTCAGGGTGCCCAGGTGTAGGGTGGCCTGGCCAATGCAAGCAGCAATTTGAAGAGAAGGGGGGGAAAGCCTATGTTTCGGGTTCATAATCTCCAAACAGATCCTCTCCCCACCATTCTCTCCCAGTGTCTCATTTTCCCATAATTTGGGGGTATTACTGACAGCATGAAATTGAGTTTCAATTCCATCATGTCACTGGATACATTTTGAAAACCTTTAGTGGATTATGCAGATTTGCTAAATAATCTCTGTATTAAAGTATTACTAATCTGGGTTTCATGAACATATATACCCAGAGAATTATACCCACTTTTGTAACAACGTCTCGCATCATTATTACTATTTAACCAGGTTAAACTTTAACAGTCCGCATTCCAGTTTAGTGATTTTATTAAATACTGTATCAAGCCTTAACCATCTTAAACATCTTTAGATTTCCGGGAGAAAAGTTGTGAGTGCTTAGGTATGCGTTACTATTCTTTCAGAACGGTAGAGTTCTTTCTCTCTCTCCCCCTCCCCCTCTCTCCGGGGAGAGGAGGGAGGGGAAAAAATGAGAGAGAAAGCATTGCATGTATGTTTAGAGATTGCTTAAAATGCCACTTCGACCAGTGGGATAGCAACCAAAAGTCAGGCATGACTGGAAGTGCCAGATTAAGCCATTAACCAAAGAGACTGAAGGATGGAGACCTCGCAACAGGTGAGTGGGCTTTCCCAAAGCTCCTCCAGCCTACACTAGCTCCCAGGAACAGGAGGTTACAAGCTGGCAGTGGCTTCCTAGAGCTCCAGGGACGTCTCCACCAAGGACAACCATATATGCTCAGCAGTCTAGTCCAAGAGAAATCACCCTTGGCTCAGCTTTTCGACTCAAAGGACAGCTTTTCTTTTGCTCTTTAGACAAGTCCAAGGCTGCGGGAGTCCAGCAAGGGAGAGGTCCTTCTGAGAAAGGTTCTGGCTATGTGGGGGTATTGCATCCAAGGCGACTTTCCAGAGTCACTGAGGCTGACAACCCACAGGTACTCACCACTACACTGGTGCCCATTGCCCGTGTAGCCAGGCAGGCAGGCGCAGCTGAATGTGCTGCCTCCGTGGTAAATGCACTGGGCCTGGGCAGCAGGAGCGCAGGAATGGCTGCCATCCTCACAGGGGTTGGGAGGGGGGGTGAGCACTGAAAAGAGAAGAAGGCAAGGACGTCCAAGAGTTCAGGCCTGCGAATGGGTGAGACTTGATCCTCACACTGTGATCCCCACACCAATAACATCAGGACAGCTGAGGGCTTCGAAGGCCCCATCCCAGAGCCAGCAAATCAGAATCTGACTTCGAACAAGATCCCTAGATGGCTTGTATGCATATTAAAGTTTGAGAAGCGCTGCTCTGGGTTTGTGGTTAAAACACTAGATTTGGAGAGCAGTCACTAAAATAGTCCTTGATTAAAGTTTATAACTCACCAGAACTACACACACACACATAGTTTCTATGATCATGGCTACCTTTTCATCTCACTGGGTTAAAAAGTGTATTTTCTCTATTATCACCTGGTTCTACCAATGGGATGAATCTGGAATCCTAGTTCTTTTGGATCTACTTTTAGGTCCAAAGATGTCTTTTTCTTTTTCTTTACCCTAGAAAGAGCTCTATTACAGAGGGTGTTCTATACCTGGGCACGTGGAACAAGCATCTTTGAATTATAATCCATTCCATTTAAATTTGAGAAATATTTTACTTCTATCTAGAACTGGTGGTATTAGAGGTTCATAGTCTTGCAACATGATTCGGCCAAATACCAAGACACATGGGAATCCCAACTGGGTGAACACCTTTCGACAACTCAACACCAAAAGTATCTATTTAGAGGAAAACGACAACAACACAGGGCTGAACTGATCCATAGCTTCGGGTTATTTCAACGTTAACTGTTTTCTAAAACCACATAGCAGAACTTCTGTAGGTCAGAGTGGAAACATTAATGAATCAGAGAACAAGATTCAACACCATTTTGGCCAAAAAGAGAAGCGCCTTAACACTCACAGATGCAAGTGTGCCGGTCATCTGCAAACTTATAACCACTCCGGCACTCACACCTGTAGCTTCCCGGCAAGTTGACACACACAGAGTTGGGGCCGCAGCGATGGAAGCCAGTGGCACATTCATTTACATCTAAGAAGAAATAAGGACAGAAAGGCACTGCTTAAATCAAGGGTTCCCCAAGTGGCAGGTCTGAAAACCCAATGTTTTCTCACTGCCATGATGCTCCAACAGAACAAATAAATTAGTGGGGGCGAAATATATCAAAATGTAGTATTTCTAAGCATCAGACGTGAATGCAGGTTGCAGGATAACCTTCAGATAATCTTTATCTCAAGTCATTCAAGTATGTAAGTCACAGGGAAAATATTTGAATATTCTGAGAATTCTTTAAACAGTAAAAAAATAAAACCCACTCAACATTTAAAAGAAAAACACACTAACAATTTTTCTTTTAGAAATGTAAAGAAATTTCTGTGGCTTGTGGGGATGTCATGGGTGAAAGGAACACAAGGTCTGAAACCTAAAGATAACCAGAAAACATATGTTTTCATAAATACAAGAAATACTTACTACAGGATTAAAATGACCAAACTTGAGAACTGGAAATATGCAGGAATTGCAAATACATGTCTTCTTTTCCCAGTCCCAGCCCCAAATACCCACCTCCAAACTCTCCTCTCAACTCTAACCAGAATGTGCTTTAGTGTTGAAATAAGAGCATTTAGGTTAACAGCTGCTAAACGTGTCTCGTGCATCAGTAGAGATCCTTAAGCAGACACGCTGGTCTTCTGTTAACACAGAGCTGGAGGACCCCGTGAACGAACAGGGCGCATACAACTTACCCACACAACTGCGTCCATCTCCCTGATACCCAGAGACACACTCGCAGGTGTAGTCTACCCCTGCCCCCGGGTGGCAACGAGCCCTCGTGTCACATGTGTGTCTCCCATCGTAGCAAGGATTCACACGGATGGGGTCTGAGTCCCCTGCAATGAGTAGAGAGGAAATAGATCACACAAGCACAATCTGGTTGTTATAAAGAGAACGGCACCAATGGGAGATCGAGGACTCCTCGGGACGGCCCACATACTCATCTGTTTGGGGGCGCGCCTGGCGACCTTGCTAAATTTTTAATACCCCAAGCTGGGCTAGATTATTTAAATTGCAGTATTAAATTCCAGAATGGCCTCCTCTTGCCTACCCTAGAGACAACTAACATTTTCTTGCTTACAGTAGGCTTGTGCCCAGGGAATAAAAACATCACATGGCATAGTTTTATCGTAGAGTGCTCTCACTCGACCACCTCGTGTGATTCTCAGGATGACTTTGTGAGGTGGGCTGTTATCCCCATGATTGGTAGTTTTCACAGATAATTGAGAGACATTGGAAAAATTGCCCCAGCTCACAAAGCCAGGAAACGGTACAGCAAGAACTCACACCCCAAATTTCTGCCTCTAAACTGGGCAGTCTCTCACTAAAATTCACTATTTCCTAGGTCAAAATTTAATTACTGGGAAAATCTTGCCTTTTTTAAGGTTTGGAAGACTAAAGAGGGATGATTTTTGCAGTATTTACTTTTTAGGATTAACCTTGCCACAGATCCATCCATCCACTAGGTCGTGGTAATACTTAACATCTGAAATCTTCCCTAAAGAGCTTTGTTTCTGGATAGAGCACAGTAGTAATGCTTATTGCAACCCTATTTGCCAGGCACTGTTCTAAAACCTTTATATATACCATCCCTTTAAATCCTCACGACTGCCCTTATGAGGAAGGTATTACTATCTTCATTTTTCCTATAGCACACAGAGGCCAAGTAACCTGGCAAAAGTCACACAGTCAGAAGAGGGGGACGGAGCAGGGATAAAAAGCCAGGCTGGCTGTGCTTTGCACCACTTTGCTACGGCCACCACCGAAGGAACTTCATACAGTTAGCTAAGCCGAGGGCGCAGAGATGACGTGGGAAAGAACCCCAGACACAATGAGTTCATTAACTCTGGGCAGTTCCATTCACTCCTCTGATTCCTCAGGTGTAAAACAGGAATAAAGATAAGGATTATATCTGCTAAAACTGAAGAAAATAAAGAAACCCTGACATGATATATATGAGTGGCAATTCCCCCCGTGGGCAGGCTTACCCAGTCCCTAGGGGCGACGTTCCTTCTTCCTCCTCAGTGGCACCCCTGCTCGTGCTCACTTGGTTTCAGCTTTGTCTCAGTCCCAAGAATTAATTCTGGTCTTAGATCTCAAAGGTTTCAGGAGCTTCACTCAAACCTCCCAGGCTTCACGTCAAGCCATCCCAGCTACCAGTGGGGCTTCGTCTAAGTCATAACTTGAGCTTCTGCCTTGGATTTCGGCCAGTGCCGGAGTCCCTGTCTTGACGGCCAGCTCAGCACAACCCAAGTCCTGCCTCGCTCTCACGGCTCCAGGGACCAGCATCTTGGCATCAGTAGACACAGTGGCAGTACCACCTACCTTAACTTCCTAGTACCACTTCCTCCTGGATTCCCTCTCATTTCTCTCTAGCTCACCCACATCTCCTCACCCCTCTTACCTCAGGCAGGTGGGCCTTGCCTATGTAACTCCCAGTCTAGACCCAAGTGCTTGCTGCCGTCACCTGTGTCAGACTGGACACCCTGTCACCTGTGTCACCCTGTCCTTCAGGATGTCCAGCCACCTCCCCACAGCTTGCCCCACTACCCACGTGGACCCTCCCGCTATTCTGTGTTAGTCTGCTGTGAACTGGGGTGCCTTGGCTGAGTCTCTGAAGGGACCTCCCTGCATTCTGGTAAATTCCTCCCGTCGCCTTAGAAGACACCCCCACCATGTGCTCTTGCAGGAGAATATTCTTATTCTCATATTACGGCCTAAAAAGAAAAAAAGGAGGGCCATGGGTTTATCCTTGGATTGCTGCAATGATGCTAGCTGGACTAGGTTACAGAATCTTTGCCAAGAGAAAAGGACCAATAAATGGCTCCGGCACTTTTTAAACCTGATGAACTTAAGGATGTCAATGTGAGCCTAGCTCCAGATAGCAAGCAGACACCTTGCACATCCCTCGTTCTTCCCTCTGCACCTCTTGGTGGACAGGATGGAAACACAATGCTGGGGTTACGGGGTTGTACAGCCCAAGTTCCTGAGACAGTCCCCAGCATGGCTATAGTTAAGAACAACAGGGTCATGTCCTCCCTGAAGGCCTGATGCAAGACAATTCTTATTTCTCCATTTTAGGAGAAGATTCTGTATAAAATGCCTGGCCTACCCAGCCAAAGGGGGACGTGAGCTTTGAAATGATTTAATTTGTAAATACTAACGCTTAACCTTCTTGCCCCATACTTTCCAGCATCCAATTTGCACTGTGGCACATTCTGGCAAAGATTAGTAAGTATGCAGAGATGTCAAAAGCTTACCACCCAGCTAGGCATGCAAAAAATGCAGTCCAAAAGCTGACTTTCAGACTTGGATGGGATACCCTGGCCTACCTGAAACTGAGGGGGAAAAAAATGTCCATAATTACAGGACACTGATTTAAAATATGCTTCACTGACTCGGCAGGCCACATAATTCACAGAGCCCAGTGCAAGAGGAAAATGTGGAGCCCCTTGCTCAAAAATTAAGAGTTTCAAGAGGACAGCAGCAGAGCATTAAACCAGTGTGCAGGCCCCGAGCACAGGCCCCGTTCACGGAATTCGGTTTCCAAAACCCTTGTTTTAAAAATACATTCCTAAAACCACCGGGCTCTGCATGCTCTCTGGCATGTTCGCGTTCTCCCTATTGCAGCACGAACAACGGGATCCTCCTCACGACGAGTTCTAGTTCGCCCTCACCCTCTCCAACAGCCTGACTCTCTGACAGGAGAGCTGGAACTAATTTCCTCATTTAATCAAGAGAAGAGCGGTTTTCCTTCAAGGAACAGTCCGTCCCGCTTCCCTGCGTGGCCCTCTGCCCAGTCTCCTCAACTTGCCAGAAAGAGCCCCGAAGTGGGCGCCAGGGGGCCCGGTTCTAGGAGCCCAGGAGGGCCGACCCACACCTGAAGCGCAAACACTGGGCGAGGGGCGGGGGCTGCGGCTGGGCCAGGCCCCAGGCTCTGATGGCTCACCAGGCGGACGCAGCCCCGACAGCACAGCCTCCCCGGCCCTGGGAAGCCACGGGCGCCCACGTCGGCTGGGGCGGCCACTCTGTGTCCCAGACGTTCCAGCCGGACCGTCATTCCCTCTGGAGAGACGGAAACACTCAAGATGATAATGCTGTGCATGGAGGGCAGGGGAAAAGGGGGTGCAGGGGGGTGGGGGGTGCAGGGGGGGTGCAGGGGGGGCAGGGGGAAGGATTTTGTCATTTGTTTTCTTTTGCCCCCGTTTTTCTCCTATTCAGGGAGCATAACCCGTATTGCAGTGTTCTATAGGGGTGGATGCAATAAGGTGCAGACACACAGGGTTAAAACACACATTCCCTCTTGCAATTCGGCCCAAATTTTGAGGCGTCCAGTGGAGTCCATGTGGGAAAGCGGGGCCAGGCGAGGGACAGGGGTGGGCTCTGGAGCTGGTGCCCGGGATTGGGTCCCAGCTGGCTGCCTTGTAGCTGCGACTGGGCAAGTCTCTATAAAATGGGGGCTGATGATCCCCCTACTGGGCAGGGGGTTGTGTGGGACTAAGTACTCAGAACAGGGCTTGGCACCAAGTAAACTATCCTTTGCTATTGTTAGGCTTTGACTTGCATGGAAGGGAAAATCACATAAAGTTCTAAAGACAAATTAGCAGCCTGGTACCTGATAGTTTGCTGGCATTCTTTCTGTTACTCCCAGAGCTGGTCGGTCTCCAGGAAAAATCCACCCAGGGATTTATCTTTTCCCTACATACATCTAGAATCGGAGTGGGATTCCTTGGTCTGGGAGGCTCCTCCGCTAATCATTGGTTTTTACACATCAGACACCTTACACCAGGTGTAAAGGGCAGAAGGAGGTTTTCCTTTGTTTTTGTTCAAATCTTTTGAGAAAGAGGCAATAATCTTTTCCCTTCTTCCGATACACGTTTCTCTAAAATCAACTGACATTTTCATGCTATTAATTCAACACCTTATAATCCATGGGCTCCCAATGCCTGCACCCCCAAGCAAGTTTCCTAAAACCAAACTGCCCACCCACCCCACACCAGCAAACTCTGGATTCTCCTTTCAAGTCATCTCTGCATCCTTGAAGAGTCCAGCCCTCTGGCCTTAATCTCGGTATCCTATTGCTAAAGTGACCGTTGCACCCTGAGCGTGAGGAGGCTTCCGGAGCCCTCCTCTCTAATGCTGAGCAGAGACACCAATTCCGGCCTCAACGGTATCAATATGGAGCCCCATGTGGGAGACCCTCTCTGTTCTCCTCCTGTGCCCCTCGCATTCTAGGGGAAAGCACTAGCTACTGGCTTTCAGAATTAAACCGTCCCTTTCAGGCACCTGGGTGGTTCAGTCAGTTAAGCGTCTGCCTTCGGCTCAGGTCATGATCTCAGGGTCCTGGGATCGAGCCCCGCATCGGGCTACCTGCTCAGCGGGGAGTCTGCTTCTCCCTCTCCCTCTGTTCTTGCTCTCTCTCAAATAAATAAAATCTTTAGAAAAATAAATAAAAGGTCCCTTCCATCTGACAATTCCCTACCTGCTAGGGTTCCCGGACTTGGCAAGCTCATCTTCTGGCTCGCCTAAACATTTTTTATTTTTTTAATCAAGATTTATTTTTAAAGAACAGTTTTAGGTTTACAGAAAAACTGAGCAGTAAGTAAAGGTTCCATACCCTCCCCTTTCTCCAGTTTTCAGTTCATTAGCTTCTTGTATTAGTGTGGTACATTTATAACTGATAAACCAGTATGGATATAGTATTACCTAAAATCTCTAGTTTACATTAGGGCTCACTCTGTGTGTCATGCAGTTGTAGGTTTGGGTAATAGCTTCACTGTCCTAAAAATCCCATGCTCTCCCCATTCACCCCATCTCCCTCCCCCTGAACTCCTGCTAACCACGGATCTTTTTATTCTCTGTAGTTTCACTTTTCCTAGAATGTTATATACAGTTGACCCTTGAACAACGTGGGGGGTAGGGGTGCTGACCCCCTACATAGTTGAAAATCTGTATAACTCGACTCCCCCAAAACTAATAGCCTACTGTTGACCAAAAGCTTTACTAATAACACATATTTTATATATTATATACTGTATTCTTATAATAAAGTAAGCTAATGTTAAGAAAATACGTGTTCAGTACTGTATTGAAAAAAAACCCACGTATGAGTAAACCTGCCCAGTTCAAACCCATGTTGTTCAAGGGTCAACTATAGTTGGAATCACACCAAGGTAGCTTTCTTCAGACTGGCGTCTTTCGCTTAGCAATGTGTATTTTGGGTTACTCACGTCCTTAATGCTTCATAAGCCTAGAACATTTTTACCATCATGTTTATCAAGCTTCACAGTTGTGGTTAATTCTAACTGAAGCTTGAGAAACACTGCTCTGGTTTTTTTTCCCCCTACAGCTATTTTTTTTTTCCAGTTAAGATAGAACTCACAAACCATATAATTCCCGCATCTAAAGTACACAATTCAATGTTTTTTAGTATGTTTACAGTTACGCAACCATCACCACAATCAATTTTAAAACATTTTAATCCCCCCACAAAAGAAACTTGCATCCTTTGGCTATCCACTCCTTACCCTCCTATTATGCCCCAGCCCAACGCAACCACTAATCTACTGTTTTTGTGGATTTGCCTCTTTTGGGTATTTCATTAGATAGAATCAAAATGTTGTCCTTTGTGACAGTTACCCTCACTCAGCATATTTTCAAAATTCATTCCCATCAGTATTTCATTCCTTTTTTATGTGTTGATAATATTCCACTATATGGATACAGGACATTTTAAAAATTCATTCATCAGTTGATGGACATTTGGGTTGTTCCTACCTTTTGGCTATTCTGTATAATGCTGCCATGAATATTTGTGTCCAAGTTTTTGTGGGGACATAAACTTTCATTTCTCTTGGTTATATAGCTAGGAGTGGAATTGCTCAAGTGGTAACTCTGTGTTTAACTTCGAGAAACTGGACTGTTTTCCACAGTAGGTATACCATTTTATACTCCTGCCAGCAATGTATGAGGATTTCAGTTTCTCCACATCTTCACCAATACTTGTTATTATCTGTTTTTTATTGTAGCTGTCCACATGCATGTAAAGTAGCATCATTATGGTTTTGATTGTGCTTGCATTTCCCTGATGACTAATGATATCAAGCATCTTCTCATGTGCTTTGGGTGTTTATCTTCTGACAAAATGTTCTATCCAAATTTCTTTTTATTGTGTTGTAAGAGTTCTTCGTATATTCTAGATACAAGTCTCTTATTAAATAAAGGATTTTCAGGGGCTCCTGGGTGGCCCAGTAGGTTAAGCATCTGCTTTTGGCTCAGGTGATCCCAGGGTTCTGGGATCGAGCCCTGCATCAGGCTCCCTGCTCAGTGGGGAATCTGCTTCTCCCTCTCCCTCTGCAGCTCCCCCTGCTTGTGTTCTCTCTCTCTCTCTCAAATAGATAAATCTTTTAAAAAGTATAGGATTTTCAAATATTTTATCCCATTCTGTGGGTTGTATGTTCACTTTGTTGATAATATCCTCCAAAGCACAAGTTTTTAATTTTGATGACACCCAATTTTTTCCTTTGTTGCTTATGCTTTTAGTATTCTCTCTAAAGAAGCCATTGCCAAATGCAGAGTCACAAAAATTCACACCTATATTTTTTCTAAAATTTTAACTAAATTATATTAACATCTTTGACCCATTTTTGGTTAATTTTTTTTTAAAGATTTTATTTATTTGACAGAGAGAGAGATAGCAAGAGCAGGAACACAAGCAGGGGGAGTGAGAGAGGGAGAAGCAGGCTTCCCGTGGAGCAGAGAGCCCGATGCGGGGCTCGATCCCAGGACGCTGGGATCATGACCTGAGCCGAAGGCAGACGCTTAACGACTGAGCCACCCAGGTGCCCCTGGTTAATTTTTGCATATGGTATGAGATAAGAGGTCCCTCATTATTCTTTAGAATGTGGATACCCAGCTGTTCCAGAACCATTTGTTTAAAAAACCTATTCTCTCTCCTCACTGAATTGTTTTGGCAAGCTTGTCAAAAACCAACAAACTGTAAATGTGTTTGTGTTTATTTCTGGATTCTCGCTTCTATTGCATTGATCTGTATATCCATTTTTATGCTAGGACCACATGGTCTTCATTACTCTAAGTTTTGAAATCAGTAAGTGGAATTCCTCCAACTCTGTTCTTTTTCAGTATTGTTTTGGCTATTCTGGGTTCCTTAAATTTCCTTGAATTTTAGGATCAATTTCTCAGTTTTTGCCAAAAACCTAGCTAATAGGATTGTGTTGAATCTATAGATCAATTTAGGAAGCATTGCCATTTTAATACTAAGTCTTCTGATTCATAAACATGGAATTCAGTCTTCTAATTTTCTTTTTATTTAGGTCTTAATTTTTTTTTTCCAAAAATGCTTTATAGGTTTTAATGTAAAAGTATTATACTTAAAAATTTTTGGGGGGGCGCCTGGGTGGTTCAGTCGTTAAGCATCTGCCTTCGGCTCAGGTCATGATCCCAGGGTCCTGGGATGGAGCCCCGCATCAGGCTCCCTGCTCTGCGGGAAGCCTGTTTCTCCCTCTAACTCTCCCCCTGCTTGTGATCCTGCTCTCACTGTCTCTCTCTCTGTCAAATAAATAAATAAAATCTTTAAAAAAAAAAAAAATTTTTTTTTATTCCTAAACATTTTTGGAACAGAATCATTTAAAATTTCCTTTTCAGTTTGCTCATTGTTACTATATAGAAATACAAGATCAAAATACAAAAATTATATCCTGCAACTTTGCTGAACTTACTAGTTCTAATAGTTTAATGAATTAGATTTTCTACATATAAGATTACATCACAGGGGAACTTCTTCCTCTCCAGTCTGGATGCCTTTTTTTATTGTCTTGCCTAATTGCCCGGGCTAAAACTTCCAATCCAGGGCTAAATAGAAGTGGCAAGAACACACGCCCTTGTCTAATTCCTGATCTTAGAGTGAAAGCATCCAGTCTCTCCTTGTTGAGTACGATGTTAACTTGGGTTTTTCTTACATGCGGTTCTTTTTGTTTTTCCAGGCACTGGCTCTTTGTCTTATCTTCACTTGGTGAAATCGTTCTCTTCCTTTAAGTTCTAGCTAAAAATGTCACTTTCTAGGGACCTCTTCCCTGAACCTCCAGGCTAGGCTCATAGCACCCTGTTCTCATCACAATTGTAACAAATACTTGTCAGCATCATTTTCCCTCCTGACTTGGCCTCACCTTGTTCACAGGTGTCTCCCCAACACAGACTGGCACACATACGGGGTTTGGCTACAGATCAACTTCACATATCGTACTCTATTCCTTCGCTTGGCAGGGACACTGTTCTAAAAGTTCCATTTCTACCTCTGTCTCCACCTCTAAGACAAGACTCTGCTTTATTCATCCTTACCCCCAGCACCTAACACAGAGCCTGGCCCTCAGTAACCCTTAGGAACCTCTGTGAATCATTCTGAGGGGACTCAAAAAGGAAGCAATGTTAGATTCAATTTTTGCCCAAAACAACAGAAGGAAACGTACCTTCAACTGGGCCAATCTGACTGGTCACAGCAAATCTAAGCACCCTTTCTTCATCCGTGTACAAGGCAAAGACCCGGTCCACATTCAGCTGCTGGGTGGTGGGGATGGCCGGGTGTCTGGGGGCGTGCCTGCAGGCCTCGTAAGTGATGTTCTGGTAGATGCGGTAGGACCGTGTTTGGTTGATGGCACCTAAGGTGAGCGAGTAGTCTCTGGAACTTGTGGAGGTCACAGCTGCAAAAGACATTATTCAGCCCAACTGGTAAATGTTTAAAATCTTAGAGAGTTTCATGTGGGGTCGATTTTTTCTGTAGGGTTTTTCACCTAATGCCTGGAGCATATTCCCTTGGGAAATTCCTGAGTTTATATGGAAAACCCGCAAGGCAATTCCGGGAATCTGAGTAGATGCAAAGCCAAAGTGCCATCACTGCTGTCATTATTAGCAAAGAATAAATTCTGCTACCGTGTGCCAGCGACGCCAGGCACTCTAGAAACACTGCCTTCTTCATGCCTCATACCAGTGAGGTGGGCCTCGAGATCATGTGCAGGGAGCCTTACAGAGGTCAAGAAATAGCCTAAGACATGAGGCCAGCGTGTGATAGAGCTGGAACTGGAACACAAGTCAGCCTGACTCTACACCCCAAGTTTTCAACCAGTCCACACTCTAGAGGACACAGATGTGACCGCTCCCAACACCCTGCACTTAAGCCCGAAGGGCTCAGGCAAAGGAAGGGGCCGTTTCTCTCAGTCTCAGCGTGGAGTTGGAAGCCCGGACCAGTGTTCTGTTCACTGTCTGGGTCTCCACTACCCGTTCTCCTCCCTTCGTCTCCTGCCCGGCTTCCAACTCTCACACCACAGAAGGAAGAAAGGCACAGCTCCAAGCAAACCACTCTGCTGCAGGACAGCAACTGTGACCAAGCCAACACCTTGCATTCGGGTGGTTTTCCAGAACTCATCAGGATTGACACATGTCAACCATGGAAAGCAAGGAGAAAAGGTGTTCTTATGCTCATTCTGAAGAGAAAATAGGCTGTCAGATGATAAGTGACCTTATCCCCATATATTTTCAACTACAAATCTGTGATGTGAATTCCTATCTTCTGACTCCAAATCATTTTACAACACTGTGCAGCATCTCATTTTAAAACAGGCAGAAACAAAGGTACAGGACAAGTAAAAATTCCAATAATCCCTACTTTCCTGTGGTCCAGATGGTTTAAAACTGTATGTACTTATACAACCCTTACACACCCCCAGAGACAAGGTTGTGGTTTCTTACATTATCACTGGCATCACATTAATACTGGGATGGGGATACTGATATTCATTTGTGTAGCAGCCAACACTTCTCTCACTTATACTATATATTTGATAAGAGTAATAAAAAGGATATTGAGCTTCTTTTATGTAACACACGGTGTTCTAAGGACATTCCACGTAATAACTCATCATCCTCACAAATATCTCGTAAAATATGGACTATATCCCCATGTTATAGATGTCAAAACTAGTTATACATACCTAAGTCCGAGTAGTGGTAAATCTCCTTGTAGGGAGCTATGTGAACTGTGAAATTTGCTGGGATGTAAGGCACCTGGCCTTGAATATTGGTCTTAATGCTCAGATAGTTCTCTGGGTCAAGTCCCTCGGCAGTTTGAGTGATTCGAACCGTCTCTTCTCCTGGGTAGAAAGTAACTTCCATATCATGGGTAAAGGTAGCGCCTGGAGAGGAAGTAAGACTTCAGCACAGAGCTAGGATGAGGTAGCATCTTCCAGGAATAATTACCAGCGCATACTTAATTTCTACTGCTGCTGGAGATGGTGCCTAAGAAGATCATCTGATATCCAAGACTAAGTACTATTAGCTGCTGATTTCATCCAGTTCCCCAAATTTCTATTAAACAGTGAGGTTTCATCCCACCTCATTTCACACTGCTTCTCTTTCTAACAGCTTGTTTTCTGTGAGAAGCTACTGGGGACATCTTGACCCTTCTCTTTGTAAGGTTGCCAGACTTACAAAACAAACAAGCAAAAAAAACTTAGGACACCCAGTTAAATTTGAATTTCAGATAAATAATGAATATATTTTAGCAGAATACATCTCATACAATATTTGGCGCATACTTTTACTAAGTTATGCAGATGATGATTGTTTTATTCAAAACTTGCTGAAAAACAAGATCCTCCGAATAGCTCTTGAGTCTATAGCTGGAGGTGGGGGGGAAGAACTTTTCTCTCAGTACATTCTCTGTGATAAAGATAAATCCAGTAGGAAACAAGCCTTTGCAGGTAGGGAGGAAAGTGCCCCAAAGTATCCTCTACACCCTTGCTATCAAAGGGTGGTCCTTAGACCAGCATGAGCGTCTCTGGGGAGCTTGCTAGGAAAACAGAATCATAGACCCCACCGGACCCACAGAGCCAGCATCTGCCTTTTCACAAGGGCTACAGGTGATCTGTGTGCAGGTTAGAGTCTGAGAAGCACTGGTCTGTACCATTATCGGTCAGAGTTTTTGGGGTGAGAGGAGGAAGGAAGTTTACTCACGAAGTAAACTCCTCTTCAGATACCCTGTGATCACCATTTGTGCATCCCTATTTGACAGATCTGTGCCTAACAACTCAAGTAAATACAGCCTGACAAATAAGCTTCAACCCATTCGGGTGAGAGGATGTACGTGTTCCAAAGGTAATCATCCTATTCCTCAGGACAACGTGGAGAACATGTGGATGGAATCAGTCTTTCAAAAACAGTCCTGTGAGACCAAACCATTCCCAACTACCTCCCCACAGAAAACGAGACCCCCTGAGGCTCTGGAACACGGAACAAGCCAGTCCTCACTCACGGAATATCAAGACCAAAGCATGATGGCTGGTGACCAGCGGCCCCTTCAAAGGCCCCTCCTACTCACCTGTGAAGCTGAAGCCATTCTCCCAGCCTGGTTTCTGTAAAGCAAAGAGCCAGCCAAAAAGGCCTCCGATTGGTGTGAGCGGGAGAAGGGCTTGGGCTGCAGGCTGAGGGACGTGGCTGATGGCCGTGTAGGCTCTGCCGTCATTGCCCACAATGTAAGCATGCAGGTCCACGTCCTCGAAGTGCACGGGCGTGTGGCCCACGCGGAGGTGGCCACTCACTTTCCCATTGACCCGATGAGGTGCCCCTGAAAGACAGCAAACCCAGTCGACTAGGACCATCGTCCAGGTTGGCGATGGGCGCACGGAAAATCATTCCACTCTCGATTCCCAAAACCCAGTCTTTGGCCATCCTCATGATTCCGTAACTGACTGATTAACCATCTAGGTACAAAACAGACCTGTCTTCGATTTCTTTTCTCCCATCCTCCCACTCTCCCGTCCACTTTGACTCTAATGAGCTGGCAAAAAGGAGGAAAGACTTCTGGCTAATCCTCAAATTGGGAAAGGAGCCCAAATGTGTTCATTTCTCAAACATTTATCCAGCACCTGCGAGTGGCCAGTGCTGGGATCCACGCAGTGGAGATGCGCGGTCCGTAATGCAGAGTTCCCAGCCCCAGTCGCAAACCAGCGAGCAGCAAAATCATACACAGCGCAGCCCCCAGCCCAGTCAAGTGTGCACGCCTTACCTTCTGGGAGACAGTGCTTCCCATTTCCGTAAAACCTGGACTGGCAGTGGCAGCAGAAGCCGGTGGCGTAGTCGGTGCAGAAGGCGTGCCGGGAGCACTGTCCGTGGTGGTGTTCACAGGTTTCCTTGCTGGCAGCATTATACGTGAAGACTGGAAAGCAGAAACCAACTTGCATTAAAAGGACAGATTCCAGCACTGCTGCTGTCGAGCTTCATTATGGACACCACATCTGCACCATAAAATCGGCTTAGATAATCGGTCTTCTGGCAAGGAGTACTGCTGATGGCTCCCATCTGGTCTCAGTGCAGAGCAGGGGAAGGCGGAGGAGGCTGCACCACTCCGGGTGAGTGCAGGAACAGAAAGGCCAGCCAGGAAGCACACGTTAGGCTGAACTGCACAAAACTGCCGTCCTGTGGGTCTACAACGGTCAAATAGCAGGTTTATGTGGCTCAACCCGAGAGTAACGACCCCGAGAGGAAGACTGAAGAGAGAAATAATGAATGCGGTCTTGGGTCCAAGCATTCTTCTCTTCTAGGGGGACCCTGAACATAGAGAGAATAGCTTGTAGCTTGTCTCACTGCCCCGGGAAGTAGGTTTTCTTGTGAGAAGGGCCTGCAAGAGCACACACAACCCCCCCTAAAGAAAGTCTATGGAGAGGGAGGGAGGAGGGGGAAAGGAAGAGGGGAGCCAGCTCTTATTTGCCCCGTGCCCGTGCAGGGTTTCTGGTGGCGGGTATGGCACAAGCAGACTGCCACAGTATAAGAGAGGGGGCCACCTGTGGACCAGTAGCGGTTCCTGCCGTCTCCCACTTATTCTGCCCATTAAAAAAAAAAAAGAGGGCCATCTGTACTTCCAAGAAACAGGAATTGGAGCAGATGCCATTGTCCGTAAGAGAAATGGCCAAGGGAGCGGGGCGTGGCTGGGGGGCGCTAATGGAGAAGAGGAGGCTTTCTCAGGACACCAGGGATGATGCTAATCCTGAGCGTGGTCTCTCTATGTTCAGGGTCCCCCTAGAAGAGAAGAATGCTTGGACCCAAGACTGGACCCAAAGTGGCTGTGCACACCTGGCCTCCACCTCCCTGGGAGCAGCAGTTGGGGGGAGACTCCGGGAGCACAGGGGCAAGCAGGGACAGCACAGAAGCCTAGTGCTGGACCCCGCTGATGCTGCAAGGGGTCAGCTCCCGAGGAAGACAGATACCCGACTCCTGGGCGAACCTAGCTGGCAGCCGTGCTCCAGATCCAGGTCTGAGGAGGAGGAAACCGGAGGGCAAGGAAGAAATGGAAAGATTAACGGGTAGGGACACAGGATTCCAGAGAAGAACAGAGAAAAACCAAGGGAGGGAAGATGTAGCACCACGTTAAGTAACATCAGAGCCAGAGACTTATCAGCCAGTGAAAACAGCCCACAGTTAACATTTAAATAGTGCTTCCTCTATGCCAGATACTGCTCTATGAAGTTTATTCACGCTTTCAGTTTGCTCATGAGCACGGGCCGTTTTTATTCCAGTTCTGCAGATGAACAAGCCGAAGCACAGATTAAAGGGACTTTCCTGAAGTCATCCAGGCAGTAGGTAGCAGAGTTGGGATTTGCACCCAGGAGGTCTGGCTCCAGATTCCTAACAGCTGTACTCCAGTGGAACCCAAGTACCTAGACCGAGAGAGCTAGGTTAAGGATCTGATCAGGTGCTTGAGGTTGATCAGCATAGACTTCAGCCGGTCAGATTTGAGGCATACTTTATAAATCAAGCCTAATGAATGGTAGGAGAGCGCAGAGACGAGCCAGATGGGGCTTACAGCACGCTGGGGGCAAAGCACAGGAAGAGCATTAGCTTTTGGACAGTAGGACAGTCCTTGACTGATGCTAACGGGTTCTTGAGAAAGCGGCAGGCTGAGGCGTTGGCAGGACAGGTAATACGGTCTCAAGTGGAACATCTGGGAGCAGCGGGAGAATGAAGTCAGTATAGCACCTTGATGACACAGTTGAAAAATTTGTTTGATAAAAATAGATATTTAGGTATAACCCTGAACGTTTTTTTAAAATAGGAAAGTGATACAGAACTCACATCCCCCTCACCCCAAAAAACCCAGAGTGGATATTATAGACACTGTTGTGAAGAAAACTATGCATCACTGTCTACCATTGGTTTAAGAAGTCCTGGGGGATCCAGTTTGAGTAAAAAGAAACCAATGAAAAAAGAAAAGAAACCAATGTAACTCGTCAGTCTCAGGTGTCTCCAGCCCCTAAGGTAACCACTAAGTGTAAAGCAACAGCGCCTGGAGGACCTCGCCCAGGGGCAAGTGCTCAGGCAGGACTCACCTCCAGAACAAGGCAGGGAAGGGACATGGCTGTGTGGGGAGAACAGCAGGGTACTCCCCAACCTCTAGAACTCAACCTTGTCCATGGCTCAGGTAGCTCTGTGCAAACCGCAGAGATGCACTCTGTTCCCTCCTAGAATCGGGTGACACCCCTTCACACCTCCATTGCGAGAAGTCACATTTTTCCTGAACGTACTTCTGAGTACCAAGGTAAAGAAGCAATGTGATACAGGCCTAAAGGATAGTCATTTTCCGGTGAAGGTGAGTAAAAATAAAACCAAACTCTAAACACTATTCTCCGGAATTAAAGAAATGGTGGGTTTGTGTTATATTCCCTGTATTTGTTATTTGGTGAAGACTTGTCCTTGCACTCAGTCCCCATTGCAAGAGTGGGTCATCAAACAGGGAGAGACGGGAAGCAGGAAGACCACTGATAGGGAGAGTTAGGTTAATTTAACTAAAAGGCGCAGGCATGGCTTTCCTATGGGCAAAAGGAGAGGAGCTCAGCGATGCAGCCAGCAACTTACAAAGGTAACTGTGCAGAAGTTTGAGCTGATTGCCATACGGACTGCATTTTTCTCACAACAAAAAACAGTGGTTAGGCTCCCATGAAAGGCCATTAGACAACTGAAACTGTAATTATGACAGGTTATTGGTAAGCTGCTCAGGGATATTCATAAGCAGTTTTGTTGAATCTTGCATTCTCTGGATGGAGCTTACTGAGTCATAAACAGAAGCTCAACCTTCCAGCCCCATGAGAACTACACAGGGAAAGAAGATGGGTTCGCTTCTAACAGGGGCATCACAGGCTCCCCTTAGGATCCCTTTCCCGTGCCTGCCTTCACACAGGTGTGCTCACAGATGCACACACTTAAAACTTACAACATCAGCTTGTTAGGGGAAAGAGAAATGCCTGTTGCACTTTTCTTTCATTTATTAATTCAACAAATAATGGGAGCACTCACTATGGGCCTGGCTCTGATCTAGGAATTAGGGATAGAGCAGACAAACATTCTGTCCCGAAGCTTACATTCTCCTAGACAGCAGTGAACAAACAGGTAAATTATTTAGTACAGAGGTTGTCGTTAAGAGCTATGCAGAATCTTAGATCAGGGAAGGTCAAGAGGGCTGACGGGGGAGGGGACTTCGCTCTTTTAAACAGCGGGATCAGGAAAGAACTTGGGAGAAGGTGACCTCAGAGCAGAGGGCTAGAGGCAGGGACAACAGGACACAAGGGACATGGGAGAGGGGCAAGGGTGAGAGAAGGCTGGGGAGGTACTGGCCAGTTGGCAGAGGGTCCTGTAGGTCACAGGAAGGAGCTGGGCTTCAGTCTGAGTAAGAAGGGGAGCCACTGGGGCGTCTGGAACAGAAGAGTGATGACATCAGACTTACGATACCTCGAGAATGAGCCAGTAAGCAGGTGCTCTGGCAGCTGGAAGTGCTGTTGGAGAGAAGAAGGGCCCAGATACGGAATATTTTGAAGATGGAGCAGACAGGGTTTGCTGATGGGTTGGATGGAGCAGAGAAAGGGAGCAGAAAGGGGGAGAAGGTGAGAGCAAGGGAGAGAGAGAAGACAGAGCAGAGAGAGAGAAGTCCACGTGATATTCACATCTTGGTGAACTGCCATCTCTGGAGACAGGGACGCTGTGGCGGAGGTTTGTGAGCGATCGGTTCCAGCAACAGCTTGGAGGCATCAGGGAAGCTCTGCCCCCTCTGACAGGACCTACAGCCTCAGCAGGGCCCCATTCAACCACGCAGAAGGAGAGCTGCATTTCTCTGTGGGCTGGGGAGCGGGGACCATTGCATCAGAATCACCTGGGGTGCCTGTTAAAAACTCTAATTCCCAGGGCACACCTTAGCGCTACCAATCCAGATTCTAGGGGTGGATCCCAGGTATCTGCACCTGAGCCACTCCCCTGGTGGTTCTTATGCCCACTGGTGATGATGTTCAGGACGTCTGTAAACTTTCCATTTCTGAGCTAGGGAATGCTCGTTAACGTAGTTAATGAATTTCATCTGACAGCAGCTCCTAGGGTGGTGGGATTTCAGAGAACGCTCTCACATTCATTCCTGGCTGGCTGAGCAACAGGACTCAGTGCTTATTGCCCACTTGGGCCCAGATCCACCAGCAAGCAACGTGAAGATCCTTTCATGGAGGAAGCCCAGAAGCCAGACCCTTCCCTGAAGAAGAGGCAGAACTGCACCTAGAAACAGATCCCACATGCAGCTATCAATCCCAGGCAAGAAAAGCCAGACTTTTGGCCAATGGGCCTTCTCAAATTTCTATGGGAAATGCAGATAGATCCAAAGATGCTGCACTACTTGAAGGTGTAGAATCAGTGTCTGAAATCCCAGCTGGATGAGATGTGCGATGAGCTCATCCCAAAACAAAGTGGCAATTTTCTTTTTCAGTGATATGCCTCTTCACATCAGAGTTCTGGATGTATTTTCACACACTTCTTCCTAGTCTGGTAAAGAAATATTATCTCCAGGGGCGCCTGGGTGGCTCAGTTGGTTAAGCGACTGCCTTCGGCTCAGGTCATGATCCTGGGGTCCCGGGATCGAATCCCGCATCGGGCTCCCTGCTCGGCGGGGAGTCTGCTTCTCCCTCTGACCCTCCTCCCTCTCATGCTCTCTGTCTCTCATTCTCTCTCGCAAATAAATAAAAATCTATAAAAAAAAAAATCTCCATTTTACGGATGAGAAAATGGAGGTCCATGGACATGATAATGGTCTTCTGGCTCTAAATCCCATGCTTTTTCCATTACACGGGGCAGTACTCAGGTGTGGCCTTTGGAATCACCAGGGGACCTGGTTTAAAAATGCAGAGTCTAGTTCAGAAGGTGGAGGAGGGGTGTGGAAATCTGCATTTTAAAGAAGGGCCCCAGGTGAATCAGATGCAAGCGAACTAGAGCTCACCCTGAGAAATCCTTTTTCTTCCATGGCCTTCTTTCTCCTGAATTTACCCACAGGCTCTTTCGTAGACCCTCCTGGGACCCACTCTGCCCGAGAGCACCTGTCACAGAGACTCAAACAGTAGAGACAAGTCTGCTGGTTTTTCAGGGCACAGCAGGAGGGCGGAGGCCGGCCAGGTTTGAAACACTGAGTTTACAAAGGCTTTGTGAACTGTGGTTAGACAGCAGGTAAAGCAGTCTTCACATGAGGACTTTTAAATCTCTTTTCTTTTTCCCATTTAATGCTTTTTTTACTCTTCTCATATCCTTAATAGAAAGAAAAATGGGGGCGCCTGGGTGGCTCAGTTGGTTAAGCGACTGCCTTTGGCTCAGGTCATGATCCTGGAGTCCCTGGATCGAGTCCCGCATCGGGCTCCCTGCTCGGCAGGGAGTCTGCTTCTCCCTCTGACCCTCCCCCCTCTCATGTGCTCTCTCTCAAATAAATAAATAAAATCTTTAAAAAAAGAAAGAAAGAAAGAAAGAAAAATGGGTACCTAAAAGAAGCAAAAGCATGGCCAAAGTACTTGAGATTTGTCCTAATTGGGAGTTACTCATGAAAATGGAAAACTCTGCACCAGATTTGATCTGTCCTTCAGTCTTCATTTTGCCAGCAACATTTAAGCACCTGTCTGCAGCCTTGGGCCTGCCCTCCCTTGTTAAGGGCTCTGGCCCAGCCACGTGGAAAAGGGAAGGCGGGCAGGTTCCAGGCACAGTGTGGGAGCACAGAGGGGATGGACGGTGTCCAGCGTGGGGCTGCCCCTGGCAGCTGGAGTGACTCTTACTTTTAACAGCTTTTACTACTCAAGAAAAGGACCCACATTTTCACTGCAGGAAAGATCTTCCTAAGTCTCCCTGCCTTGAAGAATGATGGATTAGTAAGAAAAACCACATCTAACTTTCTAATGAAAAACAGTGGCTTGCTTTTTCCTCCCGTTTTCATGTTTATTCCTGGTGTGTGTGTCTGTGTGTAGCGTATAGTGATGCGAGCTGGGCATCATTATTAGGACCAGGACCCCAGCAGGCTCTGCCATGCAGGTTTCTTCACGGGTATGGGAGGCCTTGGTGTTCGCAGACGCCGAGCAACCTGGAGCTGTACCCGGGAGAGAGGCTTTCTCATCTGGAAGGCGGGGTGGGGAGGCAGAGCCTGCTCTAATCCATCGCGGGGTGGAAGCCGCATGAGTAACACATTCCTGCAGCCTTTCCCAAAGCCAAAAGTAGGGTGGGACTAGAAGCCGCAGGGAAATCCCTGTGACACCCTGGGCTTTCCCGGCTCGACTGCCATCTAAGGAGGAACGCAAGGATCCAACAATGGAGTATGAAGAGGTTTTGAAAGCCAGGTGTCCCTCCCCCTTTCTAACTCACCATGCAGATGGAGGCGGGGTGCCGCTCCTCATAGGACCACCTCAGTAGGTGTAAGGATATCTAAGAGCTCTGTAAGGTATCATCCCTGCTCCCCACCACACAGGTGGTCCTGGTCAGCTGTCGTCCTCACCTCGCTCACCTGCCCCCTCGACTCTCTCCCTCTTTCCATTTCCACACTCGTCAGTCCTCTGTGCGGACTGTTTCCCCAGTTTCCCTCTCTGGACTCAGAGTCTGACCCCATGGGCTGGCTCAAGGCCCTCCTCCGCGAAGACTTCCCAGACTGTAGGGACACATGCGTCAGCTCACAGCTGGGGCCAGTCCTTCCATGGCTTCCTTGCCTCTTACTCAGACAAGTCCGTCAGTATTTCCAGGCTTCAGTTTCTTCCTCTGTAGCATGGGAAGACTAACAGTATCTACCTCACAGGGCAGTTCAGAAGAGCGACCGTGACAGCACAAACTAAAGCAAGTTCCCACTGAGTGGCCCAGTGGGAATGCAGGAAATGCCAGTCCCAACTTCTACTGGTGCCTCGGTCAGAGGAGGACACGTGGCAGGTGCGCACGCAACTTTCTGGGCTGTCGACAAGCTCCTGGAGCTCCCTGGAGAAACAAGACACCTCAGACAGAGGATGCTTGCGTTTCCATTTTATGGCTGGTTCTGTGCTCTATGAAAACAGACCACAGCAAATGATACACTTGAGGCCAGCACTGGAGTGTGGTTGGGACATTCTTGCGGGGTGTACACATGTTCTGAAAAGAATCTACATTTCTCAACAACAAGAAAAGTCTGTAAAAAGAGTCCCTAAGGGCAAAAAAAAATTTGAAAAGAAAGGGAGAGAGATTTGGGGTTTCTTTAGCTAAATCTTAAGATCTTCATTTGGCAAGATGACTTCTAAGTTTAAAGGGGAAATTAAAACATATGGGGCTTGGAGCTTCCCATATTCAATTTTGGTTCTCACAGCTACTTCACGAGGTCTACACTTCCTCCATCTTCTAGCTGAGGAAAATGAGGGTCAAACAGAGTATACATCTTACCCCAAACCACACAGCAGAGTTGGGAATCAAGCTCAAGTCCACCTAATACCAAAATCCATGCTTCTCCATGCCATCAGTAGAAACAGCCAGGCAGGATGGCTCACGGTGGGGCCCTTGTAGGCAATGTTCTGTGTGCGTCTCTGCCACCCCCCCTCACCAGCTGTCCCAGAGGAAGTCCGCTTCTGCCTGACGGACCTCTGGGGTGCCAATGTTTCGTCTGGAAAAAAAAAAGTATCTAACAACTGCATGGTTCCATAATCCACGCAATCTTCCTAAAGCCTGAGGTGAAAATAGAAGCTCACCCATTTTCCCTCTCTGCTTTCAGGTTTTAAAGTCTTCCCTCTGTGCTTTCTAACATGCGGTTGCTGATTTTTTTTGTCCTTCAAGGTTCAAAAATGTCCAGTTAGATATTTTTTTCTAAATGTCTTAGTGTATTAACCAGCTTTTTCATATGCATTCTGCCATTTCTAAGACGTCAGGAGTGGACGCCCTCCAGCAGCTGCTAAATATCAGAGTTCATGCCCCAGAAGTGTGATGGCTGCCGTCTCTGTTCTCAACGTTCCTTAAGCCTCCTCCCTGTCACTCCAGTGAGCTCAACCTCTCATAGCTCAAAGCAGGCTGTGCAGCCCTTTCTTCTGAACTCTTTAATAAGTCACTCCACAAATCTGCTTCTTCATTTTCCAACCTCTTCCCAGGGGAGGAAATCACAAAGCGAAAAGACCATTTTAGGATTCCATCTTCACTTCAAAATCCCTTTACTAAAAATCTTTGATACTTGGCTTTACATTTTCTTTAGATATATGGAATTTTCACTGAAAAGTCAGGAGATTGTCAGAGGGTATGAAGGTTCTGAAGCCTTCCAATCAAATTCACATCTTGGATTTGACAGAAATGTAGCCCGTCGGCACAAATTAAGGCTCGGTGATCCAACAAGCCTATTGGCTAGTCTCTAGCCAGCCCCCACCCTATTCCCACCCCTTTAAATCTCCTATAATTAGTAACAGCAGCCACAATTTATAAAGGATCAACTGGTGCAGACACTGAGAACTTTGTTATCTCATTTAGTCCCCTCAGCAAATTTAGGAGAAATCCGAGAGGCTTGGGGGTTCCATGAGTTGCCTCAGGTCACCCAGCAAGTGAGCGTGCAAGCAAGCGAGGCAGCTAGGATTCAAACCTAACTTTGACACCCGTGCTCTCCCTCTAATCATGACACGATGCCACTTTGATCACAAAATAGTTTCTTTCCTCCTAAAATAGCACTTCTTCAAGCATATTCTTGCAGATCACTACCACAGCAGAAGAACCCAGAAGGCCCTCTTTGCTGGGTCAACATGTCTTTACTACAAAAGAATGGGAAACAGAAAAGGTAGGTGGGGGGGCGGGGTGTGAAGGGGTAAAGAGGTCCTGAAGAGTGCTTTCACCTCTGGCCCCCTTCCTCCTATTAGAGGTCAGATGAGCAGTCCCTGGAACAAATGGAATGAATCCCTGCTCAGTTTCCCACTCACGTGTTTACATCCCTGACTGGGAAGAAAGAACTGAAGTGACAAGTCTCAACTAGGAGAAGAAGGCGAAATGGCTCCATGTCTGTATTAATTAACCACTTCCTCCTCCCGGCATTTCTTTTCTGGACCCTCACTCTGGTCAGTGAGTCATGAAATGAGGACAGGACTCCAGGGAGGTGAACACCACAGCTGCACAGCCATGAACCAGAAATGACAAGACACAGGTGGCTAGCGACTTGCTTTCCCCACGGGTCTCTGCTCCCACACACCACCGATGCATCTCTAAGCAAGGGGCGCACAAGCGTTGTCCCACAACAGAGAACGAATCAGGAATGTTCATCTGAGCCAGCACAACCAGCCACTTAAAACTACAGCCTGAACCCCTCCATCCCTGTAATGTCTATGAAACCTCAGAACGTTTCACCTTTGCTGAACTTTCAAACTGAAATACTTCATTACACTTGAGAGCGTAGCTGGCCCAAGCAGCCTAGTTCTTCCCCACTTGCTTCATGAGGCCCGTTTATAAAAAAAAAAAAAACATTATTAATGGTCAAGAGATTCCAAGAGAATTTGCCTGCCAAGATTTATCTGGCAAAGGAAACATACTCCATCTCCTGAAACATAGGTTTAAAAAGTCCGTTCCAATCTTCGTTTTGCTAAACGTTGCGCCAACTCACTTGAGAGAAAAATCGCAACTGTGCAAACCAGCATTTTAAAAATGAAACCCCAGCACCCGGTCTCGTCAGGCACTTACCCTCAGTGCTGGAACCGATGACGTCCTCCACGCCTAGCACTTGCCTCCCAGGGCCCAGCGGTGGAGTGTGAGCGGGCACGGGGTAATTTAGAAGAACGGCCTTTCTCTCAGGATGGATCGGAGGAACATCCTCTTCCGAAGGTGGTGCCCCTCCTTCTGGGTAGGGAGGTGGGGCTCCCCGGGCAGGACCCAGCGAATCTCCTTCTATCTCTGATGCAGCTGGGCCTCTGGTCCCTGGCTGTTCCCAAGACTCGACTGGGCCTTTTAAACCTGGGGCATCTACCCCGCCCAGAGCTCTCCCCTCTTTGGCTTGAGGGTCCAAGGTGGCAAATTCGGTTTCAGGGTAGAGGGGCCGATCACTAGCTGTCAGCTGTGGCAGAGGGGAGGCCGGGTCAGATTCCGACGGAGATACCCCACCTCCTAAAGGTCTTCTTGGCTCAGCTTTCGGCTGGAAGGAAACGTCAGTCCTGCTGTGGTCATCCCAGGCGTCCTCTGGCTCACTTGGGAGGTATTCCACTTCTCCCTCATTCTCATCATAATAATCCAGATTGTCCTCAGTGTAGTCACTTTCCGGGGCTGCCGTAGGGCTGAAGGACTGCTCTGGGGGAGATGAAGGGTGGGCTTTGGTAAGGTCTCCAACGGTGGCTGGCCTGATACTGTCCAGTGGGGAGGAGCTGCCGATATGAAAAGCCCACACTCCAGGAACCCCCAGGTTGCTCTGTCTAAATTAAAAGGAAACAGTGCATGACACAAGTGTCCATTTACCCACCACCCCACAACAGTGAGCAACTTATCATAAAACTGAAAGGCTATTAAGATCAGATGCAGAGTTTTCACTAGCATAAAACCAAATAAAAACCAGGCCTACATGCTAACTAAAAGGAGTACACTGGAATATTGACGTAAACTACCTCTTATTTAACTTTAGGTTTCAGAATGCTAGACCATCAAATTAGAAATCTGCTCTAAAATTCACATTTTGTCTAAAATCTGGCTATTTGAAAACAAACAGGGAATGTGGGAACACTTTATACTTTCTCTACTTTTAACTCACTCAGGAAAATGTATGCTTAAAAACCTTTGCCAAACACTTAAACAATAATGACTAGAACATACTTTTGAGACTTAGTCACGTACCAAATGCTTAATGTTCTTCGATACAATCTGCAAGGTAGAGGCAGTGATCGTGCCCAATTTTACGGAGGAGAAAACAGGTTTAGAGAGGCTAACTAATCTTCTTAAGGTCATACAACAAATAATTGGCAGAGCTTGGACCTGAATTCAGCACTGACACCAAAGCCCATGCTCCAAACATCTACATTAGGTCAAAAAACCAATATACTACAGTCTATCAGCATCTGAATTATCATTGATCTACAGAATGTTACAGACAGTTCCCTGTTCAAGCACATGGATTAATCAATTAACTAATTGACATACAATGGTGAGTTGATGTAAAAAAAAAAACCTCAAAGAAAAATAAATGCCCACGTCTAAAAAATATTGAGCAAGTGCAGAACAAAGTTAAGGGGAATATAAGAAAGCAGTTTAGTCAAAATGCCATGGGTTATAGGTGAGAGGTGTTCAGAAACATCTGGAACCAGAGAGCTCATGCATTTTCTTTACTAGAAAAGAACATGGACCCCATTCAGTCTTCCAAATGTTCCAGTGATGCATTATTTTACTCAATGATACATTCTAAAGAGAACAACTACATAAGATTTCTAAAAATTAAAAAAATAAAATAAACTTTGAACAAACAAGGGTCTGGCTAGCTTGAATGCACCAGTTTCTATACTTCTCTGGTAATGTGCAAAATACCAGGCTCAAAGCCCCCATGCTGTGAGATTTCCTCAAAAGTCAGTCAGTGAAGTATAAGAGTTAAAGACTAATAAGATAATAAGAAATTTATCCAATCATTATAAGAACAAGAGACTTTTGCTGATTTGGGTAGGTACTGATCACATTCACATGGAATCCTATAGCAGTAATATTTTTCAATACAATTCTGAGAATGTCTCTTTCCCTCCTTTCTTCCTCTTCACCTCTCCCTCTCTCTCTTTCGTGTGTGTGTGTGCATGCACATGCATGTAGTTATTTCTGCTGCTATTATAGTTACTTTAGGGAAAGAGGAGCAGAGAAAGCAAAACCATGATCCTTTGTGCAACATACTATGTATACTTGGTATGTTCTAAGACTTAATGTTGGTGTTTTTTGGCAAGCAAATAAGGAACACTTTAGTAAAAAGATAAGGGAGAGGGCGCCTGGGTGGCTCACTTGGTTAAGCGACTGCCTTCGGCTCAGGTCATGATCCTGGAGTCCCGGGATCGAGTCCCGCATCGGGCTCCCTGCTCGGCAGGGAGTCTGCTTCTCCCTCTGACCCTCCCCCCTCTCATGTGCTCTCTTTCTCTCTCAAATAAATAAATAAAATCTTTAAAAAAAAAAAAAAGATAAGGGAGAATCCTGAAGATCTGAGGATACTGCATTTATTATCACATCAGAGGTGTTGCAGCTGTGAAATTTCTTCTTGAAGTTAGAGAAAACTATAAAAGCTTCAAAGAGTAGGAAAATACAAGTTATGGCAGAAAGAAGCTAAGTAATATAACCTTCTAATGAAATACAAATCGCTACCTTGGCTTTTGTCATTGTGCGTGATGGAAAAGTAACCAATTTGAGCTTATCCTAAAATCCGAGGTCATTTGGAAAGCTTGGTGATAGAATTTATTTTCTAGAAAGGAAAACAAGGCTACAAAATGGGATGACAGCACCTTCCTCCCTGGGTCGTTAGGAGGAGTAAGTAAGAAAACCACATAAAATGCCTAGCATGAGGCTCTGCACATAATTAGTACTTAGTAATTATAATTTGTCTTCGAGGAGATAGAAAAGTATAATCTCGAAAAATACAAATGGGTGGATTCACATTTAAATTGCCGGAAGAGGAGTTATGCCAAATCCACTATGAATTACATAATTTATTACCTTTAAGCTTACAATTATGAGACAAATTTGAGGAAGACAAAGATTCTATTGACTAGGAAAATAACTTTATTCTTTAGAGATGCACACTGAAGTATCTAGTATTTAGTATGAGCATGATGTTGGTAATTTACTTTAAAATTCTTAAGCAAGGGGCGCCTGGGTGGCTCAGTTGGTTAAGCGACTGCCTTCGGCTCAGGTCATGATCCTAGAGTCCCTGGATCGAGTCCCGCATCGGGCTCCCTGCTCGGCAGGGAGTCTGCTTCTCCCTCTCCCACTCCCCGTTTGTGTTCCCTCTCTCGCTGTGTCTTTCTCTGTCAAATAAATAAATAAAATCTTTAAAAAAAAAAATTCTTAAGCAAAAAAAAATGATGAATATTGGCAAAATGTCAACAACTTCTAAATCTAAGTGATGAGCTTTTGGGCATTCATTTAGCTATTCCCTCCACTCTTCTGTGTATTTTTGAAAATTTAAATAGTGAAAAGTAAAACAGAAGATTAAATCGGGGAACATTTCTACAATTTGGAGGTAGAGAAGGCTTTCCCAAGAATAACAAAGATCTAAAATCATAAAAGAGCAATAACTTTGCCAACCCTAAACTTACAGCTTCTAGATGCTAAGAAACTTTAAAGATGAACAACTGGATAAAAATATTCACACCGTATAAGAGGATTAATTTCCTCACTATATTTTTTCTTATTTGTAAGAGCTCTTTGGACACACCTGGACAGAAAATAGCAAAGGACAGGGGCAGAGAAGTCACGAAGATAGATATATGGTTATTAAACATACGAAAAGGTGTTTGGTTTCACTAGTAATCAAATAAGAGTGAGAGTATGAACATTTGACACCGACCAGATTCACAAATATTGAAAAGAAAAGAAGCTGCCGATCACAGCTCTATCTTATTGGTGAGGACATAAACTGGACATTTCTGAAGGGCAGTGTGTTCATGTTCATCAAAATGTTTGACTAAGTATAGCTTTTCTCGGCAATTCTACTCTCAAGAAGTTATCTTTCACGGAAATGAGAATCTGACCAATGTGTGTTATGCTGTTTACTGCAATGATATTTATAAAAAGAAAATTAAAAAACAAGTTAAATGTTCATCAATAAGTTATTATCTTTTTTTAATTTTTTTTTAAAAGATTTTATTTATTTATCTGAGAGAGAATGAGATAGAGAGAGAGAGCATGAGAGGGAGGAGGGTCAGAGGGAGAAGCAGACTCCCCGCCGAGCAGGGAGCCCGATGCGGGACTCGATCCCGGGACCCCAGGATCATGACCTGAGCCGAAGGCAGTCGCTTAACCAACTGAGCCACCCAGGCGCCCATAAGTTATTATCTTAATAGTATATAAATATGACACGATATTTTGTAGCCTTAAGATAGTAAAACAAACATCTTCCTGAATGATACCTCTAAGACAATGATAAATGGGAAAATGTCACATGTATAGCAAAAGAACCATATTGGTTTTAAAAAGTTCTTGCATTCCAGAAGGACTACAAATACTGGCTAGCACTTGAAGTGCTGATGGTGGGTAATTTGTGCTTTTATTTCGCATTATTCTGCTTTCTTTTTTACGATAAGTAGGGGTTATACTAAGGAAAAATCCCTCTGTCAGTCCCATGTCTTCCGTCCTCGTCAAGCAACTCAGCGGTATCTGGGAAGCATCAAAGATACAAATGAGGGCAGGCGTGGAGGGCGGTACATGGGGGTGCTGTGTGGTGCACGTACATGCCTCTGTGTGTGAGTGAGTTCCGTGGGGTCTTTATCACCATGGTGGGGGAGCTCAACTGCTTTTTCCTACAGGCTTTTTGGCCCCCACTGCCTCCAGTACGCTGAGTACAGTTGGCACTCATTCCGGTGCTCCAGACCGTTGATCCGTTCATCTGTCCACCCTACCAGAGTGCAGGCTGCTCATGGGCGGGGCCTGCGCCTCAGATACCTTTGTATTTCAAGTGCTTGGCCCATTGTGATCTCTCAATAACATCTGAGGAGTAGAGGATCTCGGGGCTCCAGAGTGGAAGAGGAAAGTGGAACCAGAGGAGAGAAAGCAAGGAGCTCAGTTTTCTCACATCTGGACTTAAAGGCAGCCTGGAAGGAGACCTAAAGATGCCCAAGGTGGGTCCTAAGACTGGGAAAGGAGACCAGGCTTCGGCACAAAAGAAGTAGTTTGGGTCTCCAGGCTTGTGCTTGAATTTTTGCCACTGAGTAACTTCGAGGTCACAGGCAACTTAACTTCCCTAAACTCATTTGTCAAATTGAGGAAACAACAGAACTTACCTCCTAGGATTCTTGTGAGTTTTAAGTAAGATAACTTCTGGGAAGTGTTTTACACAGTGTTTGGCAAATAATAAGCTCTCAATAAATGTCAGCTCTAGGAAACCATATTTGGTGGTAGGGCCCGCTCCCTGGCAGCTGAGCAAAGCAGATGGCACGCAAAAGTGTAAGGGCTTCCAGTGCCCAGGAATAATGTAATGGAAGGGAGAAGCAGTTAGGCAAGGCTAAGTAACCGATGTGTTCTGCCTGGCTTCTAGACCAGGATTTGGGAAGGGAATAAAAGCAAAGATATTTTTTCACAAGCCCTGAAATTAATAAATCTCAACCGGTGCTAACCCAGATATGGTGCTATGTGGACTGACAAACAGCAAAAGGGGCTTATTTTTACGCTAGCAGGGTAAGCCTCTGCTGGGTCTCAGGAATGTGCTGGCTACCTCATGGAAAACCAACCAGTATGGTTTCAGTTAATGAAGCCATACAGAAACCCTGAGACCTCTAACTGCTACCCATGTGTCTGGTTTTCCCTTTTCCCCAAATTACACTATTCTTGATTTAACTTTTAACATGTATCTGTCTAAAGGACTAAATCACAACATCTCCTCCTTGTGAAATGATGAACCTGGAAAAATCTCACTCTGGGCAGTGACATTACTGGATATTTTTATGTGGTTCCCAAGAGCAATGTTTTTCATAGAAGCCTCAGTGGTTGAGCAAACACACACGCACTGCTCTGTTTCCGGTATCTATACCCAATAGGGCAGGAAGAATAAAGGGTCTTTTATATTTTGGTGAATTTGCTCCTCTCAGGGTCTAATCTGGTGTCTGGTTTTGACCTGACGCCTCCCTTAGAAGCCACCAAGATATTATTTAATGGTCTTATGGCTACTCGAGTGCGGGTAGCTCCGACGGGTCCTTACATCAGACGGGGAAGGGCTTACTTACTGGTAGAGATTTTTCACAGACTGTTCAGTGCTAGTCAAGCTGAAATAGGGTCCCTCTCTCTTCAGGTCATCGATCTCCCCTCGGCAGAAGCCCACCCGAGCGGGAAGCTCGAGCTGCACGTTGTAAGACTCCTTGGGGCGGGTTCCAAAGAACTGAAGGCCATTGGCAGGGTAAAGAAAGAGGGCGTAGGTATCGGATTCATCAGATGCCAAAACTGCCTGGAAAGTGTTCAACTATGAAAAACAAAAAATAGGAAATAATCTTAATAAAACAAACAAGAAAAAACAGAATGCAAGCAAAGCATCATGAAGTACAAGGGTCTTCCCCCTTCTCAGAACTCCTCCAAATTGCTTTTATACATTTTATTCTTTTTAATTTCCTCTTCAAGTTGTAATTGTGTAAGCCCTATTATTATCATAATCCTCCTTTATCATTTAATACTTGAAATATGCATAGGTAAGAACCACAGGTTACAAAAATAACGTTTTTAAGGTTTCAAACTTCTCTCATCCAAACCTCTTTAAGAGCTAAGAGCAAGTCCAAAATTAACCTGTATATTCCCACAGCCGCTGCCCTAGTTTACTGCCCTGGGCACTCATGTGGATCATTCACTCATTCATTCATTCATTCACCTGTTTACTGAATGCCTATTATGGGCAGGCATGGTGTTAGCCATTGGCTGATCAAAAGGCCTCCTTACTGTTCTCACAGCCTTGCTCTCTTTTCTCTTTCATCTGCCTTTTCACAACAGCACTTGAGTTATCCAACCCCCCTTTCACAGACCAGGAAACAAGACATGGGGGCTAACAGATCTGCCTAAGGCCAGGTAGCTGGTACACGGTGGCAGGCCAGCCCGCTCCAGAGTCCATGCCCTGCACCGCTAGTCCACCCCAACTATTCCTTAGCATCCCATTCAAGGTGGTTTATAATTGCCCCAAACTCTTTTCCCAGGTTTAGATCCACTGCATCTTCATCAGACTATGTCATATTCCCCCCCTGTGCCATGTACTTTAATGCTTCTGTATTTTTGCTCATTTTTCCCTGTGCCAGGAAACCCTCCTCACCCTCTACTGCTGCCCTTCTGAGGTATTCTGTGATCCCCTGTAGATTTATTTCTGTTCTCTGACCATCCATAACACCGGGTGTTTCTGGTTACCATTCCGGTTACCATCCACCTCATTTTGCCTGGTTAGCTGTTTAAGTGTTTGTAAACTCCACTTACTAATAATTCACTTGCACCTTAATTCAGCCAAGTGCCTACTAAGCTAGACATTATGCTTGGTGCTGAAGGAAAAGGTACCGAAGGAAGGGAGACTCTGCCCGGGACAGTCTCACACTTAGAAGGGAACAGCCGTGGCTGGCATTTAGGAGAGTTGGTGGAGAAGATAGTGGAGGCCAGAGAAGGGTGTGTGAGACGTCAGGCTTAGGTGCGGAGGCGTCCCCACAGAGGTGGCCTGTGAACGTTCATAAACACAGGAGGAACCAAGCAGACCAGAGTGAGAGACCAGGAGTCTGAATTAGCCGCAAACTCAGCACCCAGGCCCTCATAAAATCACTCCTTAAAGTTCAATTTATTCTTGTATTTTCAGCCAGATAGTTTTTGCCTTTACCTAAGTAATGCTACCTCCACCCACACCCCGACATGATCTGTTGGTGGTACTTCCTTATCTTAAAAAGGTATTATATTTAGGACACTGAGAACTCTTCTCTAAGTACCCCCCTTTTTATAATTTGGTAGGGAACTGGGAGCTATTTATAAATACCACTACTTCCTAAATAATGTGACTCTAAGAAATGTTACTTACTGGTAAAGGGTATCATTTCTCCATTTTGCTAGACAGACAAAGGTAGGCACAGAGAAGAACATCACATCTTACTAAATAAAATAGCAAACAACGGGAATATGTCCTGCATTTTGTTCTGTCCTGGGCCCTTCCCCATATGGTGCTCAGACTCTTCCAATGTTTATTCTTCCTTTCAGTGCTTAATTGCAAAGTATAGTTTTGACACTTTGCTGATAACACAAATCAATTCAGGTGTTAAATGCTTTTCAAGAAAAAAAGCACACAACCTTTCTTTTTGTTCTCTAACATAGAAACACTTACCTTATTTCGCTTTCTTTTTTCCCTTTTTTAAAGATTTATTTTTAAGTAATCTCTGCACCCAACATGGGACTCGAACTTACAACCCCGAGATCAAGAATCGCATGCTCTACTGACTAAGCCAGCCAGGCACCCCTGCTTTCTTTCTTTAAGCTCACATACTTCAAGATGGCGGGGGGGGGGGGGGGCGGGCAGTATATCTGTTATTTTGCAGTTGTTCATTGTTTCATCAGCAAAGCTTGCCTGTTCCAGAAACAAAAGGCAAAGGATGCTTTCTAGAATTTCTCAAAGCTAGGAAACCATAACTTCTGCCAAATGTAAACAAAGCCTCTTCTGCATCATGTCTATACATAATATATACTACATCATCGATTAACGTTGATTCCATAACATCAGAGTACTCCTTTAGTCAGAATCAACAAAGTTCAGCTAGGGAAAGGAAAGTACTTGAGGAAAGAGAAAGGACCTCTTGTAACAAGCTAGGCTTTCAAACCTCCTGGCATTGATTACTTACAACAAATGTAAGATAGGAAGAATCCTGGCTCTAAGTTTAGAGAAATTCTGTTAAGATAAGGAGGAGGGGGGGGTCCCACAGATCGTGAGGGAACTGAAGGGGATGGGGGAGGAAGGGAGGGAGAAAATAAACAGAGCTGTGAAGGGGAGTGTCTGGCTTTTACTGTGGAGTCTGGGAATTTAGCACTTTATTTTATTCATTCTGTCAGTCAATAAATTCATTTCGATGAAAATTTATTCAGTGCCTTTTATATGCCATCCCTGAGCCAAGCACTTATATACAGGTGGCAAGCCTTTATTTAATTTACTTGTCTCTACTGACAGGCAAAAAGGGGGATTTTAGATAGAATTTCTGATCCCAAAGTACAGGCCAAAAGAGTTTGGCTGTTTAAAAAAAACCACCCACACACCAAATGATCACTTTTAAAGTTCTCTCTCTTGGCTCTACAAAATTCTACATCTAACTGCTAAAGAGCACACTTCACGAAGTCCTGAAGGACTCCTCCTCCCAAAGCACTCCTCGACTAGCCTCCAGACGGGAAAGGAAAGGTCTTCACATTCCTGGAGATGAGCGCCTTTGCAAGAACCACACATGCTCTGTCTCTGAAGATAAACCCTCAGATGGGCTGCCAAACCCCACAAAAGGTTCACCGGTTCCCAACTTCCTCAGGATCCCAGGGAGGAGAGGGGGGCCTCCATTGGAGGATGAACAGCCCAGAGGATCAGGGCCAGGGGCTGCCTGGCTTCAAGGTTTCTGCCATCCTGTTATCCGAAAGAGAGACAAGCCAGAGTTGTCAGCAGAAACCCGGCAGGCTCTGACTCTCCCTTTCAGGTATGGGACATCAAGCACTGCTGACTTGACACTCGGCAGAGCCAGGCTGATGGATACAGAACATGCCCCTCTACAAGCTTCTAAATTTGCAATTCATTTAATTAATTTCAGCCATCTAGTGAAGAAACAGAAGACTGCCAGCCTTGTCCCAAACGGGTTTGCCTACGGTGACTTACAAAAATCACAGAGAAAATGAAGAAGTAGGGTGACTCTTACAGGGGTCACAAAGTTCTCTTTCCTGCCTTCCTTGGGATCACATACTCTCCATGGTGGTGGTATCACTGACTTCTGGCCGCCAGGGTTTGGGTTGAGCACTAACCTCCACTCCTTAATATACTTCCCCATCTCCCAGCCCCTGTGGGTCACTGTCACAGGCCTGATCTTCTCTCATTCATTGGTATGCCCTAAATCCTACAGATCCCGCCCCAAATTCAAAGATCTGTGCTCTAGTCTCTAAGGTGACATCCTTCCTGACACTTAGTCTTTAGCAACACTTAAGCATTTCATTAACCAATTTCCATATATGTCTCTATTCAGTACATCTTCATAGTGTATTTTAGCCTCAGGTTAAACGTTTTCAGATAGATCCCAGACCGCCCCTCTTCTGGACTTGAGCTCCAGAAGTCAAAAAGCTACAACAAAGTCCTTCTTTTACCTCTCCTCCTCTCTGTGGAATCGCCCCCCTCCATCAACAACAGTCATCCTTCGAAATAAGTCAACACGCTTTAGTCCCCACATTGAGGTTCCACGACTCCCCTCATCCATGTCTCCTACATCAGCTTTCTCTGCCTGCTCCCAGGACAAGGCCTTGCTCAGAACAATTTCTCCTGCTGCCTCATTCTCAAGATCCATTCTTTCAGCCCTTTTGGCTCAACCTAAATTCCAGGTCAACAACAAAAACATCTCCCATATCACACAGATTTGTGTGACCCAGTTCTCCACAACTCCCATCCGTCAAACAACAACAAAACAATTCTCCCCTCCCCCAAAAACCACAGCTGAAGTAAACACTAGTCCTCTTTATGTCTCCGTCAACAAGTTCTTTGAAGGTCAATACCATGACTTCTTTGCCCCGTAAAGTACCTATGACAGCTGAGGAGTCTCAGATTAACTGAACTGATAAGCACTATTTGTTCTTTTTTTTTTAGAGAGAGAGTGCACCACCCCGCCCCCCACCCCGGCAAGCCAGGGGGAGGGAATCTTAAGCAGGCTCCATGCCCAAGGCGCCCAACACAGCAGATCTCATGACCCTGAGACCAGGACCTGAGCCCAAATCAAGAGTTGGACACTTAACCAACTGAGCCACCGAGGCACCCCATATTTCTTCACCTTTTTTTTAGTTGTAGTTACACTTTGCCATTCCTGCAACATCACATACAGCATCCTGTCAGACCCATCATGAATATCCATGGAGAGAAAGGGCAACAACTGAAATAGTTTTAAGTGGTAAAGATGCCCTTCCTCTGATATCTTCAAGTTTGCAACATAGGGTTAGTGTGTGAAGGTTTAAGCCACGTAGAACTCACACAGCCCTTCACACAAGGCAGATTACTGTTTGCCAAAATCCATCTCTAAAGAATTATTAAAATAAGAACTCAAATCACAGGGCTCTTTAAAGTATTCAGAAGAAACTTCAATGTGGGTAATTGAAAAAACATCCTCTCTCCAAACAGAACCCTTATCTCCTTTCGAAACGAAACAAATTCTGAAGCCAACTCAGCATATGGCAATGTCTGAAGAATGATTTTAACTAGAAAAGAGAGATGGAATCTACAAATCCTCCTGTACTTCCCACCCAAAAGAGACCAGACAGAAGTTGTAGTTCAGAAAACCTAGCATTTAAAGAGTCCTTATGCAAAGGCCTTACATCACAGTGTCCTTACAAGATAGAGAAATTTAAAAACCAGAATCTTCCTATCAAGCCAACATGGAGGAGCACAGATTGGCTGAGCATCCACACCCACTAAGTCTAAAAGAATACAGTGACTACTTAAAAATGTCACCCTAATTAAAAATGCCACCTTAGTTAATTCTGACAACAATCCTGTAAGGTAGGCATTGCTCCCCCATTTTACAGGTTAGGAAATAAGAATGAGGCTGAGTCATTGCTTCCAAAGTCACTGGATAACCTTTCATAATGCACATCTTCTTTCAAAATGTTTTTATATTGTCATGGTCTTCACAACCACCCCGAAAGTTGGGTGAAAGAGTGGTATTCCCATGTTACAGATGAAATTGAAACAATAATTAACAAAGTCACCGTGTCTGTATTATAATTTTTGGTTTCAAATAAGCTGTGAAAAAATGGAATCTTAAAGCTCTAGTGTGATTTCACCATCCCAGCACGTCTGTGTAACTGCTCATCTCCGATTCATCTCACTCAACTCAACTTCATCCTTATTCTGTTGAAACAGTAAGACAAATGCAGCTGAATTCTCTTCAGAGCGCACAAGCTGGGGGTGGGGAGGGGCAGAGGGAGTGAGGGGAAGCAGACTCCCTGCTGAGCAGGGAGCCTGACACCAGGCTTGATCTCAGGACCATGAGATCATGACCTGAGGGGAAAATAAGAGTCGGTTGCTTAACGACTGAGCCACCCAGGTGCCCCTGATTTAAAATAAGTTTTTTAACCTTATATAAAAATGAGTGAATGAGTGAATGAATGTAACCTAATTCATCTTCCTCCAACCCTCCACCTAGCCCAATGCCCTGCACAAAGGAAGGCCCAATATATTTGTTTGACTTGAATGTATTCTGCTGGACTGAATCACTGAAATATCAAACCCGCACCTGTAAAAAAAAAAAAATTTAAGAAAAAACCTAAATGCTGCCCGACAAAAAAATGAATTTCAAAAAAAATTCAGGGTGCCTGGGTGGCTCAGTTGTTACGCATCTGCCTTCGGCTCAGGTCTTGATCCCAGGGTTCTGGGATCGAGCCCCACATCGGGCTCCCTGCTCTGCGGGAAGCCTGCTTCTCCCTCTCCAACTCCCGCTGCTTGTGTTCCTGTTCTCGCTATGTCTCTCTCTGTCAAAAAAATAAATAAAATCTTAAAAAAAAAAATTCAAATATCTTTTATTTCTAGATCTTCTTTGAATAGCCTTTTGGGACTATTTCTCTTACAGAACACAAAACAAGAATGGTCACCATCTTGAACTACTCAGTGAGAGCGGGTAAGCTGCTTAATCTTTCAGGGAGGATATGTGCCATCTTTCTATAGCTAAGAAACACTATGATGAGTTAAATAGAGATAAATCATAAGAGTGTCAGCCCTTTGAGTATGAAATTTAAAAAAAATTTTTTTCAAGATTTTATTTGTTTATTTGACAGAGAGAGAGAGAGAGAGAGAGAGAGCATAAGCCGGGGGAGTGGCAGACAGAGGAAGAGGGAGAAGCAGCCTTCCCGCTGAGCAGGGAACCCGATGTGGGACTCAGTCCCAGGACTCTGGGGTCATGACCTGAGCCGAAGGCAGATGCTTAACCGACTGAGCCACCCAGGTGCCCCTGAGTATGAAATTTAAATTCAGGTCTTATTTCACAGGAGGAAGCCCTTACCTATTCCAGGAAAAGCAGGTTACCATTTGCCAAGCCACCCTGGTCCCAACTGATGTCCGTTTGGAGTTCTTTAAATGTTGCTGCCAAGCCTACAGGGCTGGGAGCTCGGGTTGTTTTACCTTCTCAAGTAGAGACTATAAAACAAATGGAGGACAGTCTTCTATAACCCAGGGATCATGTAAACTGATGTTTCTAGGGCAATTTGGCAAAAGCTATCAAGAACCTTATAAAGTGGATCCTCTCTGGCCCACCAGTTCCACTTCCTGGAATATCAAGTAAGGACATGTGGAAAGATTTAGCTAAAAAAAAAAAAAAGTGCTTCACAAAATTATTTATAGTGATGAAAAATTGGAAATAACTTTAATGACCACTGGACACAGTGGTAAATTCACTGGGTAGAATATTATGCAGATATTATAAATGATGTTGTAGAACCATACTGAGTGACAATGAAACATATTCACAATATACTACTGAGTGAAAAAAATAGTTTACAAAACAGTATGTGCAGTGCAAACCCATTAGTGTTAATAGACAGTAACATAAATACAGATATTAATAGGAAAAAAACTTTTGGAAGATATAAATGAAAACGTTTAACAGTGATTATCTTTGAGTGGCAGGAAAATGAGTGGTTGTTCTTTTTTAAATTGCCTGTATTTGCTGATGTTTTCCCTTCAATGAACATATAATTAGAAATAATTCTTATATACTTAGAGGTGATTCTAAAAATAAACAACCAAACAGTGAACTGCCTTGTGTTCTGAGGGCTTTCCGCATCTGCACTGGGGCCCTCATTCCCGATCCTTGCTAGAAGTGGCCATCTCTCAGATCCTTAGAAGACGGGCTGGAGAAAACAGCCTTCTTCACTTCTAAGCCACTTCAGCCCTGGTGCCACCAAAGGATACATCAGGTTCGCACAAGAGCCGACTCAGAAGAAACTCCAAGCCAGTCCCTGGGCTCCAGCCCAGAATTCAAACCCATCCCTCCATTGGCTCAGCGGCCAAGCACCCCTGGTCAGTTACCTCTCCTGAGGGCGGCACCCGGCTGCTGGCCTCCTCGTAGGCGCCCACCTGCTCCCAGGTGGCCACGAAGGCGTGGGTGGGGGTGAAGTACGCCGCGGTGCGCGGGAAGCCTGCGCGCACGTAGCGGGCGGCCAGGCCCAGCACAGCCAGGGACGTGTCCTCACGGTACAGGACCTGGCCCCTGCCCCGGCTCGTGTCGATGTCCGCCAGGAAGGGGGCAATGGCCGGAAAGTCTGTGGGGAAATCATCGTCCACGTACTGGGTCTCCCTAGGGAAGTCCTGAGTGGAGATGATACCGTTGGTGCCCACCTGTGGGAGGAGAGGGACAAAAGGTGACGGTCGCGTACGCGGCAGGAGGCCCTCGGGCGGCCGCCACAAGTCCAAATGTGCGCGCGCCCACCCGGCTACGCACGGAGGGAAGGGGACCGCCCGAGGCTTGAAGCTGTCCCTTCCCTACCCGCTGGGAACCCGACTCCTGATTCAGGGCGACCAGCGCGACTTCAGCCCGCGTGCCGCTCGCCCCCCCACCCCCACCCCACAGCGCGGGGCGATAGGTCCAGGAGCCCTAAAACTCCTGGTTCACGTGTCTTCTCACTTGCCGCACAACGCTGGAGAAACCTCCGGGTCCGAGGAGGGAACGCACTAGCTCTGCAGACGTGCACAGCCTTCTCGCCGTCCTTACTGCAAACCCCACCGGCCGCCCCAGCATCCCCACCTCCTTTTCTGCCGGGGACGCTTTTGTAGCTGCGAATGTGTGGGTCTGAATTCTCGCCCTTCCCCTCGAGGTAAAGAAAAGCAACTCCGACAGCAGCATCGCTGCAGGGCCACGTCCCACCCAGGGGCGCTCGGGGACAGCCCGGAGTGCGGACTACTTCCTCCCCCTGGAAGGCAGGGGTTCGGTGAGATCCACACTACATCGGCCCGTGGGAAGAAGCTGCGAGAACTCTGCCGGTTCCCACACCAAGCGGGGGCTGAACTTACGTAGAGGTAGCTGAACTGGGCTTCGTAGAAGCGCAGGGGACTCGCCAGCTTCACCGGGGCTGAGCTTTCGTCGTCGCCCTCCTGCAGGAGCTGGTCCTCCCGCGACTGCCCGTAGGGGAAGAGCTCGTCTGGGTGCAGCGCCCCGGCCCGGGACAGCAGCAGCAGCAGCAGCAGTGGCGGCGGCCGCAGCGATTGCAGCGCCAGTCGCCGGGCTGCCCGGTCCCCCCGCATGCTGGCTCGGCTCCTGGGCGGCCCGGCGGCAGAGCGCGTCCCGGCCCGGCCCGCCAGCCCACTAGCCGCGCCGCGCCAGCCTCCAGCCTGGATCCCCGCGGGCGCCCGGGCGGGCCGGGCCTCCGGGCCCTCCCAGCGCGCTGACTGGCTGCGGCCCTCGGCCGGGGACCAATCACCCGCTCGGGGAAAGTTCGACAGCGGCGGCCACATCTGGTTCTTGTTAGAAGTCTTCTAAGGCAGCGGTCGCGGGAGCGGCGGGGCGGGCGAGCTAGAAGCCTCGGGCCAGGGCTGGCCGCAGCGCTGCTCCGCCTCCGCCTCCGCCTCCGCCTCCGCCTCCGCAGTCCCAGAGCGGCCGGGCCCGCTCCCGCCCTCCTGCGGGGACTGCTCCGCGGGGCCGACGAGCCCCTCCCCCGGGACCAAACGGCCCGCGAAGTCGAGGGCAGCGGCGCGGCGGGAGAGGACCTCAGCGCCAAGGGGGACCCCCGCAGCGGCGTGTGCTGGCTGGCGCGAGGCGCCCCGCCAGGCTGGCAGGGCGAGGGTGTGGTGGGGGGGTCCCGGGCGCCCCTCGCTCTGGGGGCGTTGTCGCAGCCGCAGCTCCCTTGCTCCACCCAGAGACGCCCTGCCGAGAAGCGCGCTTTTGTATGAAGCCGGAATGATGCGGGGGGGGTGGGGGGGGGGCGGGGGGGCGTCCAATTCCTAAGTTCCGACCTCCATCCAAAGACTACCGCCTGGGAAGACTGGGCTACCCGCCACAGGTCTGGGTCTGGGTCAAGAGAGCGCTGTGTACCTTTCCCAGGGAAACCGGGACCTGGAAGGACCATGAAACACTACTGTGTGTGATCGGCTGCATGTGGGGCATGGAATGAAGCATCCCATTTGGGCACCAAGCGGAAATGGGTGAGGCGCCAGGGTGGGGGCACCTTGGGTCTCTCACCCGCTGCCTTGCGGGCATCGGGGCTGCCTTTGCGGTGGGCAAGGCGATGGTAACCTGAGCCCCTCCCTGGGACAGGAAACCAGCTGCTAGATGTGGGGGAACCCCATCCACCACAAACAACCCCTCTGTGAAGCATCAGCAGCCAGACGAGATTTTATTACCACTTCTATTATCAAGAACTTGAAATTTACCAGATCGTCTGTTTTCCCTCTCTAGCCCCCATGGGGTCCTTGGAAGCAAAGGTATTTAAAAAGAAGGAAAAAAGTAGGGCGCCTGGGTGGCTCAGTTGGTTAAGCGACTGCCTTCGGCTCAGGTCATGATCCTGGAGTCCCGGGATCGAGTCCCACATCGGGCTTTCTGCTCAGCAGGGGGTCTGCTTCTCCCTCTGCCCTCTTCCCTCTCATGCTCTCTGTGTCTCATTCTCTCTCTCTCTCAAATAGATAAATAAAATCTTAAAAAAAAAAAAAAGAAGGAAAAAAGTAAGCCTGTGGAAATGCCTTAAGGGATGTTCAAAAGACAAATTTCTTTTTGTGGGTGTTTATTCCAGTTACACAAATCCTTCTGGGCCCAGAGCGCCAAGCCCTGAAAACTCTGAAGATACCAGACTGTGAGACTCACAGTATCAGCACAAAATGGAAAACTGGCTCAAAGCAGTTTGCTTCCTCTGACTGTGAAGAGTTGTTTGCTTGTTACAAAAGTGTATTTGTGTTTGCACATATATGTTCTCATTTCTATGGGAGATAGGTATTTTCACTGTACTGAGGAAGAAATGAAGGCTCAAAGACATGACGTGATTTGACCTAGCCAAGATCACCTAAGGTTACTCTTTGATATAAAATCCTACACCAGCTTTCTCTAGGTTTTCCCAGTCTCTCAACTGAACGTAATAAAAAAAAAGCTAACATTTATTTGGTGGTAATATAAGCTATCAGCTACTAATATAAGCTACCAGCTATAGGCTAGTGGCTTAAAATGACTCCCAAAGATCCCCATTTTATGGTGTTCCTTCCCTTGTAATAATCCCCTTCCCTGGAGTGTGGGCTGGCCTAGTGACTTTTAACCTATAGAATGGGGCAATAGTGACAAGAAGTCACTTCAGTGATTAGGCTACATCTGTCTTGGTCGCAGACCCTCTGTCACTGACTGATGACACAAGCTGTTATGCTGGGGAGGTCCACATGGCAAGGAACTAAGGGCGGGCTCCGGCCAACGGCCCTCCAGGCACTGACTTCTGCCAATAATCATGTAAGTGAGCTTGGAAATGGATCCTTCTCCAGTCATGTCTTGAGGTAACACCTCATCTCTGGCTGACACTTCGACTGCAGCCTTGTGGGAGACCCTGAAGCAGAAGACCAGATTCTGGACCCACAGGAACCGTGAGAACTTAATAAATGTGTGTTGTTTTAAGCTATTATGGTTTGGGATAATTTCTTATGCAGCAATAGATAAGTGATAACAGCTAGACACTATGCTAAGGAAGCCAAGACTTCGAGGAATTAAAAAAAAAAAGAAATCAGTTAGTTACATGGCTTGTAAGTACCAGAGCTGGGATTTGAACTCAGATTTGAACTAATCGGTCTGATTTCTAAATCTCTGCTCTGAAGCACTAAATCATATTGCCACAAGGTCCTTTGCGAGGCTGTTCTAGCCTACCTCTCCAACTTTAGCTCGGGCCACAGCTACCATTTCAGCTGAGACTTTAGTTCTCAAATGCAACCTTCTATTTTATGGCGTGGAACAGCTTCACATGCTAGTCCCTCTACCTATAATGCTTTTCCCAATCAGTCGCCTCTAGCCAACACTCATTCATCCTTCAACACTTGAATAAAAAATCATTCTCTTTCCAGAAGTTTCCTGGAAACCACAGTCTGATTGAGAATCTCCATGTGTCCTGTGTGTGCCATTAGCATATTGCCAATCCCACCGTATCTCCCCTAACCCCTGACCGCCCATGTCTCCCTCACCCCTGCCGCCACACCTTGAGGGCAGGGACTCTGTCTTACTTGGGGCCTGCCGCCATGCTTGCCTGGCTCCTCCGGAGAAACTTAGAGAAATGTTTGTTGAATGAGTGAAAGCAAGCAAACCAGCCTGGGGCTAAGATCCATGTCTGCTGACACAAAAGAAACATTCTTTCCCCGACACCACCTTTCCTGCTAATCTGACCTGAGTTTCAGACTCCTCTTTAACCAGGCTACAGAGCAGCTCACCTTCCACTGTTTTCCAGTTTGGGTCATTCTTTCATTCATCCACCCAACAACTATTTCCTGCAAGTTTATCATGACAAACACAACTCGGCAAGATATAATGGAGTATAATGGGTGACCCCTGACCTCAAGAAGCTCTTGAGCTGGTGGGGGAGGGGGGAACGAAGCAAGAATATGACAAAGCAGCCATATCACAACGTAGCACAGATTTAGCAGCACAACAAACAAAAAGAGCTGTTGCCCTGAGAGGGTGTCACCAGTTCCGAATCGGACGCGGAGCACAACGAAGTAGATCCGATAGGGCAGGGGCTGAAATGAGCAGTGCTGGCTCCCCAGCTGCTTAAAGTGGCCGAATTCTTCTTAAAATACGAGGCTATAGACAGTTGTGCTTGAGCAGACATTCCTTTGAGCTCTTATTCTAATATTATTTTTAAAAGACCATGGCACCCAGTGGTTTCTCCCTTAAAATGTCACTCTGTGTCTTCAGGAAAAGAAAAAATCTGTCATAGTCATTTCCCTGGTCAAAGTAAATACTGAGGAAATACTTCTCTTGTATCCAGTCCCAGAGTAGAATTTCCGTGACTTGCCAGACTGGCTGAAGAGACAGAGGCCCCTTTGGGGTTGGCAGTTCTATAATTTTTTTTTTTTAAAGATTTTATTTATTTATTTGACAGAGAGAGACACAGCGAGGGAGGGAACACAAGCAGGGGGAGTGGGAGAGGGAGAAGCAGGGGGAGTGGGAGAGGGAGAAGCAGGCTTCCCGCGGAGCAGGGAGCCCGATGCGGGGCTCAATCCCAGGACTCTGGGATCATGACCTGAGCCAAAGGCAGACGCTTAACAACTGAGCCACCCGGGCGCCCCTGGGGTTGGTAGTTCTAAGAGGACCTCTATAGACATCTTAGTCCTCTTGGATTGCCAATAGACCTTGTCAAGAGTCTCCACAGTTATATTTTTGTGTGTGTGGTTATATGTCTGTTAGAAATACCGAGACTTCAAGAATGATGATACTTCCTGTTATTTTAATCAAGAGAATGAAAACACATTTGCTCCACAGTGTGGCAAATAGATGTGGGGACTCAAGAGCAAGTTCTATGTATAGCCCTGCCTGGTATGTGTGTGTGTTTGTACTGGAGGTGGGCTTGGCAGAAAGTGTCTGGTTCTTGTTGTGCATAGTGATTCTTTGCATAACTTTACTATCCTTTAAGTTCCAGGGTGGGTATATTAGCATGTAGAAAAAAAACAGGGCTGTGCAAATTAGCACATCTCCGCAGACTTAGGCTTAATTGAAATCGTTAGGCCTAAGAAAAACCACGCACTGCTTAGAAGTTCTGAGTAGTGCTTGGGATAGATTTGGTGGGATCCCTTTACATTCTAACGACCTCCAAATATATCCCAAGCCCCAGGCTTTCGCTTGAGTTTTTCATTTATATCCCTCCCCAGGTGGGATGACATATGAAACCTACTTCTAGAATTAGATCCACTACTCAGAATTTCTGAGTTGTCAGTTTTGGCTGGTGACAGCAATAGGCACTCCTTCTTGATTACCATTGCCCTGTTTTCTGGTCCTCATCAGGCTCTCACCCACTAGCCTTTTGTGGCAGAAACGATAGGTTAGCTACCCAACCCATATTCCCAATCTCCTCCCTTGTGTGAATCCACCACAGACGGAAGGAGATGAGGGGTGCTCTCTCGGGTTCCCTTGCGGTTAGAGTTACCATCTAGTGGAGTCCTGGCCAAACTGCTAGCAGTGTGCGGAAAGGCTGGTGATTTGCTCTTAACTTGGTGATTTCTGGGGATAGTTGCATCTTTCTCCATTCTTGATGCCTTACATGTGGATGTGTTGGTTTGAGCTTGGACAACCCTCTTCTGACCGTAAAGTGACAACTATGAGGACAAAAGCCCAGCAAAGCAAAAAGACAGGTAGGAGATGAGTGTCTTAGTCGGTAACTGCCTCCCTCCAGACTATGTGTGAGGTGAGAAAACAAACCCACATTGGTGTAAGCCACGTTACGTGCTGCAGTACCTAATCCTGATACTTGGCTAACTCCTTTCTCTACCTCTGTCTAACACACAAATCTGACCCCCACATGTTCCTGTCTAGGACCCTTG